CGAGGATCGTTATCATTATTATTTACGTTTCCATGATTATCATTATCGTTGTCAATATCGTTTGTCCAGTAGAGAAAAAAAAAGAAAAGAAAAAGAGTTATCAAAAAAAAAAATTACCATCAACCTCATTATACTTCATTCTATTCATCGTTTCCAAAATAACCTGTGCCGAAAACATAAATTGTCATTAAACTCCGGGAGAAGAGGAGAGAGAAAAGGCAGGTGCTAGAGTAGTCTCATCAGGCGCGTACGCAGGAATTTGGTCTGGGGGGGGGGGGGATAATAAAATTTTTTAAGAAATATTATTGTTTTTTAAAAATATCAAGCATAAATTTATTAGGACTAATAACTATTTCTAATACACAATTTTAAATTAATGTGAATTATAGAAAAATTATCTGTAAAGAATCACTTAAATTACCCAAAGTAGATATTTGAATTTTTTGAGCCTATACAAAAAAAGTTTCTTAGGAATAATTGCATTTTTTATGTTATACATTTACAATGTAAAATCCAATCTTCGTTGTGATTGAGCTAATTTTTTAATTATCTCATCCTTGCTTGTCGTCAAATGCCTATGAATATTCAAAAGATCCAAACCTTTCAATCTACTTTCAGATATTGTACATCTTGGTATGTTTTTCAGAGACCTGCAGGCCATTTTTTTTAAATATACCCGGGCCGGGCCCAAAATTTTTTTAAAAAAACACCCAGGCCTGGTCTGAATTATTTAAAAAAAACACCCAATCCGGGCTGTATTTTTTAAAATAGCCTATATTTGAAATCGTTATTATTAGCTATAAAAATCAAAAATAAATATAATTTATTTTAAAAAAATCTGGGCCGGGTCTGAAAATTTTATTTAAAAAAAAACCGGGCCGGGTCTGAAATTTTTTTAAAAAAAGCCGAGTCGGGCCTAAAAATTTTTTTAAATAAAGCCGAGCCGGGTCTGAAAATTTTTTAAAAAAAACCTAGGCTGGGCCGTAAAAAATCTTTAAAAAAAATCCGGGCCGTGCCCTGCAAATGGTACTTCTGCAGGCCTCTGTTATTCTTCTTAAAAAAGAGAATGTTCTCTCATTAGTTTACTAATGGGAAGAGTTTATAAACCCTTTTAATACATTGGGAATTTAATCTAAAATGTGTTTGAAATAATGCAGAGCATCCATAGCATTTTTTGGGACTATATCAACCATAGTTAATCTTATAAACATAGTTATTCAGCTAGTAAGGCATCATAAGATTCTTTAGCATCTTCATTATAAAAATCTAACAAATTTTTTTTTTCTATCACCATCTAAAAAAGGTTGGGAAGGCTTTTGTGGAAGTTATTTGCAGATTAGTAAGTGCTGCATGATGAATTAAAAATTCATTTATTTGGGTTATAAATGTATCTGTATTTAAGATATACTCATGTTTTAACGATAAGCTTGCCTTGCTACAAGTCGAGGGAGACAAATATTAAACACGTATAGCTCTGCTTTGACTCAACAATAAAATATAAAATATGAAATTCTTCATCAACATTAGCCCTAATTTCCTTGATTTCTTATAAAATGCTCTCCGCTATCATCTTCTTAATCAAGTCAGTCATGTTTTTGAAAAGTAATACTAAAATAGTTGTATAATTAAATAATACATTCTAATGAGAAATAAAATTTGGAATAAGCATTGAATCCAATAATTTTCTTGCTTCTGAGGAAATATTTCTTTCAGGCCATTGTGATATTTCAGTAATAGCAAATAATTGGCTCAACTCTTTAAAAGCTGTTACTGGTTGATGGCAGAGACTCTATCTCGTTAGACAATGTTGCAATTTATTTTTCCCTGTTGGACAAGAAGTTTCAGAAATAATTATTATTTGACTAGAAATTTGAAAATGGTAGATAAATATTACACAACTAAAAATTTGAAAATAATAAGTAAATATTACGCCGGAAAACTTGAAATCGAAATTAATTGATAAAATAACTTAGTAAATAAATGTGATAATAAATATAATTAAATATATATTTAATATGAGATATAAATAAATATTAACAAATATAAATTAATATAAACAATAATATTTTTAAAAAATATATCCGGTATCTGCATTTTTTGGCTTGGGGGGAGGGGGGTTGTCCCCCTGCCCCCCCCCTGCTGCGTACGCCAATGAGCCTCATTTATCATAACGATTCCGGCTTTAGTTAAGACCATGTCTAACAATGTATTGTAGGTGTTTCTTTATTTTGTGTTTGCTGAGTGCCAAAAAATTAGTGTTTTTAAGGTAACTAGTTACATTTTTGCTAAAAAATAACTGTAACTAATTATATTTTAGAAATTGTAACTAGTAACTGTAACTAGTTATATTTTTACCAATGTAACTGCCAAAAGTAACTAGGCCGGACTCGGGCCTAATTCTATTTTAAAAAATCGGGTTCCGGCCGGGCCTAATATTTCTAAAAAAAATTTGGGCCGGTTCGGGTCAGACCTTGGAAATTTTATTAAATATATCTAAATTTATCAATTTTATATTGAATTTTTTATGTAAAATAAAAAATTTTGATTTAATTTATTGAAACTAAACGCTATATAACATATGTCTTTTATTTTAAGTAATTATAAAAATTAATTTTTATATTTAAATAAATTCGGGCCTGGCCGGGCCGGTAAATTTTTTTAAAATAAATTTCGGGTTCGGGACGGGCCGGTAAAACTTTTTAAAAAAATTTCGGGTTCGGGCCGGGCCGGCAAAACATTTTTTAAAAAAATTTCGGGCCGGGCTTGAAAAATTAGGCCCGATGCAGATCACTAGCTATAATAATCAATTCATTATAAATGATGAGGGTTTTAATTGAATTTATTATCTAAAAAATAACTCCTTTATATTCACATAATGTCGAAAGTATATAGTAGAGATAAAATAATTTAAGTTATTATTTTTAAATTTACTGAAAGAGTATCATTGTAATTAAACAAGGTGAAATTAAAAATAGAGAAACATCGCCTAGGGCGGCAAAAATTTTTTAGAGGAGGGAGACTAAATTAGAAGAAATCGGGGAAAAAATAGGAAACTGGCGATCAAAAGAATTCAACAAATAGAGCTACCAAAGAGGCAAAAATTTACAATTCCAACAAGACTAAATTCATATCCAAGACCACCAGCTTCGATTTAGAAAGAGGAAGGAAATGGAGGCAGGACACGAAAATAAAAAAGATGCACGAGGACCAAAGCCGAAATATATGAGACTCCTATTGAAATTTTTTATTTTAAAAAATTATTTTTTCTATGAATATCAATTTTATTTATCGATTTCTCGGAATTATTATTGTTTTTTCTTTTTTATCAATTTTATTTATTGATTTCTCGGAATTGTGATTATTTTTCTCTTAACATTTTTATTTATCGATTTTTTCAGATTTGTGATTTTGACTCTCTTTTATGGGGAAAAAAATAGAAAAAATAAAATTTCGATTTGTATAGATTTATATGTTAAAACAAAAGTGGAAAAATAAAGTTATATATATATATATATATATATAATAAAAAGTGATAAAATAGAATATAATCGAAAACATAACACATATAGCTAATTGTTCCTTGGAGACCTTTATAATTTTATTGTTTTCTATGTGTAATCTCGGTAAAGGATTGGACTTAAAAGTAGCGAGTAATTTGAGAGATTGGAAAGCCTTGTATATAATATTGTTGTGAAAATTAAATGTATAGATCTAGATAAGTTGGCAATAAAAATACTTTTAGCGGTTTTTATGCAGTAGGTAACTTTTGTGGTGTTTAGCATATTGATTGTAGATTTATTGTTAGATTTTTTATTATCTGTATTGTTGAAGGGGTGAGCCACTCTTTACGCTTGCGTGGTCTTAAGCAAGAATTCATAGAGCTTGATAAATTTATCTTTTCATTTTTCCAGAATATTAGGATTGATCTATTTACTTGAAAATATTTATAAATAATTCCAAAATTAAATAAATCTAAAATTTAAATAAAAATTTTTCATAAAAATTGTTTTCTATTTTACACGTTTTTTTTATAAAAAAAAATATCTCTTTCTATACCTGATATTTATTGTTAAAATAACTGATTTTGAATGGTTTTTAGTTCTATAAAAGAGTTGTTAAATTTGTCATGCCTTAAAGGCTTAAATCACGTTTCATATCGTTTATAATTTTATCGTTATTTTTGCGTTCAATAGTTTAAGAAATTATTTTACTAATGCTATATTAAATCCTATATTTTTTAAATCAAACAATTAACATTATTTTTTATACATAAAGAAAAAGATTATAAAGTGACAATCATTTAAATTTGTTGAATTATGTATTAATATTTTATGTAAATATTGATTAAATATTGAAAATAAAATATAACCTCAATATAAAGTTTGATCAAGAAGACGAATCCATTACAGGAACTTATCTGAAGATAGTAAAGATTTAGATATTAAGATTTATTAATTAATGTAAACTTAAAATAACAACTAAAATAATTATAGTAATAAAAGCAAAAAATAATAATGATAATATTTTGAATTTTATGTGTTTCATTTTTGATCCTTTTTTTAATATCCTATATAAAAAATTCTAAATTGATTCTATATTAATTTTTTAATATATTAATTTAAATGTACATAATAATCATTTATGTGCGAATTATATTTTTATGTTAATAATTAATTCTATAGAAACATAAATCATATAATGTTTTTAAAAAAAATAAGAAAAAATTCAATATTAAAATTAATGGATACTTTAAGATAGAAGATAATTTAAAAATAAAAAAATTACGTTAAATCGTTTAACAAAAAGAATAAAGATTAAATTTTATAACTTTGTTATAAAGTGTTTTAAGGACATAAAAGAACCAAACTAATCGATGGACAAAGAATCTATTACATTATCATTATCAATACCCAATATTCTAGCTTTTCTTTATTTATGAAGATTTAAATATAACTTATATCAAAAGAATTAACATGTTACAATCAAGTGTCAGTCTGAAGTCTGATATGTTAGGACGTTAGTTTAAAAAATGAGAAGGAATTTAACATGCTTCATAATATTTATAATTATTCTCTGTTGCTATAAATATTTATTTAATTTTCTGAATAATGTTCAACCATCACCATATATGGATGAAATATTTCATGTACCTCAATCTAATCATTACCATAAATTCCGCTTTGATATAGTAAATAATATATATAATTGTATTTTATATAAAATTGATTTAGTGGGATAACAAAATCACTACATTCCCAGGATTATATATTATTTCGTTAATATATTCACTGCTGTCAAGTTTTTTATTAAATTTGCCAGTGCATATATTTGCATCGCCTTATTATCTAAGAAGTATAAATTGTTGGTTGAATATTGGAAATTTCTGGTTGATATACTTAACACTGCCAAATATATATAGAGTCATTATAGAGGTATAAAAAATAACCTTTTGATTTTATCGTAGTGTTTAATATAAAATTAGTAAAATCTTTAAATGCATCTCATTACAGTGACTATTTTACACCCTTAAGATACTATTTATTTGAAAAAAATACTCAATTTATTCTTTCACCCCCTATGTAAAGTTGCCAGTTAATGGACTGTCCTCTAGTAGTCACTATATGGAAGTTTTACTGTGGAAGCTTTTATACTTGTCAGCAAAAATTGACATTTGTTTTTAGCTTAGTTATACAGTTTTATTGCATATTTTATCTTTTACTTATAATATGAATTTTTAAAAACTAATACATTACATAGTTTATATATATAATTATTTTACCTTATTTTCATATATTAAAGGTTAACCAATCAATTGAGTTAAACAAAGATCCAAAATTAAAGATGATAATTGCTCTAACAGCATTCAATCTTTTTATATTTCCAGTATCATTTTTTTTCTCACATTTTTATTACACAGACATAGTAGCATTATTTTTTGTTTTGTGTGTTTATAATTTAACTCTAAATACTGTTAAATCACACAATACTATTGATATATCCATTCATAGACAAAACATTCAAAAAGTATTATTGTTAGTGCTAAATATTGGTGCTATATTTATGCGACAAACCAATGTTATTTGGATATTATTTTGTTTTTTAATTCAATTTCAATCCTTGATTATCTTTTATCAAATCAGCATTTATAAAACAAAAGCCAAACTACCAACAATTACATTAAATGGTGATGAGAAAGAATATTACCTGAAAAGTTATCATAAACAATTAGGGGATATTTTATTTGATGACAAGCCTAAAATTTCTTTAAATTTATCATTAGAACAAGGCAAAGACTTTATTATATTAAAATCTATATATAATATTGAGCTTTTGGATGACCTATATCAATCAACCAAGCATTTATTGACCAATACCAATAATAATATCATTTTATTAATCCTAAAATTCACTTGGCCATCTATATTACCAATCATGTTATTTGCTTTATGGGTCATGTATAATGGTGGCTCTTTAGTTTTAGGAGATAAAAATGCACACAAACCTTGCATCAATATTCCTCAGCTATTTTATTTTTCGATTTTTGTCACCCTTTTAACCTTTCCTACAACTATACTTTTACCCTTGTTAAATATAGCTAATAATAATTATTCAAAAAATTCTATTCATTTATTTCCTCCATCTCGTGAAAAGATTATTAGATTGATTAAATATGTCTCCACAACATGTCTTATTTTATTATTATGTATATTTTTGGTAAAATATTTTACTTACGTACACCCATATCTTTTAGCCGACAATCGACACATAACTTTTTATATTTGGAAAAATATTTTTGCTTCTGCATCATACAATAAATACCTATTAATACCACTCTACATAATCAGTATCTATGCTATGAATTTCAGTTTAAAATCTCCAAAAAAGGGTAAATCAGATCAAATTACATTTGAAAAGCAATATCATAGGAATTATTCTGAAACTTATCTCCAAATGATATACGCAGAAGCAATGAATAAATCATGGAAAATATCCTTCATTATTTGTGTCTCATTTGTTTTGATTCTCCAAGGTCTACTTGAATTCAGATATTTTATAATCCCTTTCTTCTTATTCAGGATGTCCCAAAATATTTTTAAATACAAGAATATATCATGGAATACTATTATATCAGTTTTAATTTTAGAAACTATATTTTATTTGATAATTAACATTTTAATGATCAAATTATTTTGTTGTGGCAAAAAATTTTATTGGTCAGACTCAGCTCAAGTCCAGCGAATTATGTGGTAAAAGGTGAAAAGATTTAATATATACAATTATAATAAATTTTATATAAAAAATGTGATTATAGTAAATATTGATAAATGTTAGTATTATTTAATAAAAATTATGTTGATTTTTTTATATTATTAAATCTATTTTATCATTGTATTGCCCAAGAATAAATCATTAATCATGGGTGTATTATCACCACTTTTGTTTATCACCTTAAACTTATGTAAAGTATATATATTTATTATAGGTCTAGAATTAGAAGCTGTATCTGACTTTTTAAAAAAAAATTTGCTAGAAAATTTGAAACCATGGAGGTCTGATTAAAAATATTTATTACCATATTTGTCTTAATCCATTAATTACCAAGAAATAAAAAACCTAAAAATTAATGCATTAGTATAAACACATCTATATATCAAAATTTCAAAATAAAATTATATAATTTTTTGAATATTCCAAAAATTAAACATTGGAAACGAGTTTATTTTTTGGTGAAATAATTTTGAGAATTTTATATGTATGAATCAGTACAACATATTTATATGTCGTATTTATCTTCTACCATTTGCGACGACCTTGATGATTAGCTTTAACTGGCATATGACTTTTCTCTACCTTTAGGATTGAATTAATGAGAATTTTGATTGACTAGGACAATATTGTTTTTTAGGTGCATTTCCAATCATAGAAGGTAAGACATTCCCATCCAAAGAAATATGGAGTCTCCAAGTGGCTACTACAACACATGATTTAAGAAAGTTAGAAAATAGGACTTTTTGCTTCGCAGTTTCTGGCGAAAATCATTTAAAAATCTATCCAATGATCATATCCGCCCATATCTTTGTGATGAAATCAATTTTTATTATAAAATTAACAACTTTTTACCTTTTGTACCGCAGTATATATATATTTTACAAAACAAACAATTAATCGTCGTACACAATTAATAATATATATATTTAAAATTCTTCATATATTTAATTGCCATGAGGCTAATTGTTTCTATTACATCTATTCTCTCCTTTTTTGGGCTTTCGATTTGAAACGGTATAAATTGTTTTCTTATCCGTTTTGGATAACGGCTGCTTGTACTTTCGTTCTCTACCACCGTTTGCTCATTACTGTCGATTTTCATCTTATCATTTATGATGGTCTCTTTGTTTATTGAGTCTTGTATTGGGTCAATGTCTTTGGTCACCAATTCGTGTATAGGATCAATGTCTTTAGTCATTGAGTTTTGTATGGGCTCATTTTCATTCATTTGTGGTGTAGTTTGCATCGTTTCTTCTTCTCTTCCCTCCTCTCTATTTTTTAATTCTGAGTTGTCGAACCTATGTTTTAACTGATTAATATGTCTTCTCCATACCCCTAATTTAGTTTCAACTAAAAACGTCATTAATCCTGTTCTTTTAACGATGATACCTGGTATCCAATTATCTTTTTTAAAATCCTTTGCATATATTTTTCCATTTATATTAAAAAAACCTGGTAACTGAGGTATATATGGATGAGGATAAACTGGTTTTATTAATTGTAAAGGTCCTATGGGTTGAAATTTAAGCATAATTTAACTTGGTAATTGTTTTGTGGTTATTGGCGTATTTCGATAATTAAACAAAAAATCTTGTATTTTATTATAATCAATATGTTTTTTTTAAATTTTTTAAAAGTTTGTACTAATCGCTCCGCTTCTCCGTTGGTTCTAAGGTGGTATGGGCCACTATATACATTTTTAATTGATAATTGTTTGCAAAATAAACTAAATTCTCTACTTTGAAATGGGGGGCCATTATCCGTAACAATCGTATTGGGGTAACCGAAAATAGCAAAAAGTCTTAACAACAATTTTCTTACTTCAGTAAAATTATTCGTCGTCATTTTTTGTATTTCAGGCCATTTACTAAAACTATCTATTATTACTAGATATATATCTCCGTTAATTGGTCCGGCAAAATCTAAATGAGTTCTTCCCCATGGTTTATTTGCGGAGGGCCATTTCCCTATGATCGTTTTATTGCCAGGATTATTTTGTTGACATAATTCACAATTCTTACCGTGTAATTCGATATCTTCGTTAATATTCGGCCACCAAACGTTCTCTTGTGCCAATAATTTTGTTTTAGTATAACTCTGATTCCCCATATGTAAAAAAGATAAAATATTTACTTGTAATTTTTTGGGAATTATGGTTCTTAAGCCCCATAATATACACCCTGCCTCCATCGTGAGTTCATTTCGGCGCTGGAAAAACGGTTTAAGATTTTCCTCTATCATCTTTGGCCATCCAGTTGTAAGGTAACGTGAAACCTTTGATAATACCGGGTCATTTCTTGTGTGTGCTTTTATATCTACCGCTGAAATAAATTGTGGAGCATCCGATACTATTAAATTAATATCTAACTCTTCCCAAGCAGATGGTTTACCGTCAATTGGAAACCGGGAAAGCATATCCGCATTACTATTTTTTTTCGTCCCTCGAAGTTGCAATTCATAATCATAATTTGCTAGTAGTAATGACCATCTTACTAATCTTGATGACATATCTGTTATTCTTTTATGTGGATTAAGTAACGATATTAGGGGTTTATGGTCAGTAATGATAATGAAATGTCTGCCAATTAAATATTGTTTAAATTTAATTAATCCAAATATAATTGCTAAAGCCCTATCTGACTGTAATTTCGTTCGGCAGCATTTAATGTTCGAGACGCGTATCCAATCGGTTTTTCCTCGTTGTTAATGATATGAGATATAACTGATCCTATTCCATGTTGAGACGCATCAGCAGCTAGAATTATCGGTTTTTCCGGATTATAATGTGTTAAAATTGGTGCTTCTGATATTAATTTTTTTAATTTATTAATCACAATTGTTTCATTATTTGTCCATTTCCATGGCACATCTTTCCTTAAAAGCCTATATAATGGAGCGGCAATAGTCGAAAAATTGTTTATAAATTTTTGATAATAATTTATTATATCAATAAAAGCTTGTAATTCTTTGACGTTTTTTGGAAATGGTGCGTCTAAAATTGCATTGACATTCTTATTTTTTGTCGTAATTCCCTCTTCGCTAACGGTATGACCTAAGAATTCAATCTTTTCTTTAAAAAAATCACATTTTTTTAGATTTAATTTCATACCGTTTATTTCTAACGTCTGTAATACATTTATCAAATTTTTCTTATGACTCTCAATTGATTTCCCCGTAATTATTATATCATCCAAATATACCGCTACTCCAGGTAATCCCTTTAATAATGAATCCATTGCTTGTTGAAAAATCGCTGGCGCTGAGGCTACCCCAAACGGAAGTCGTGTGAAACGATACAATCCACTAGGCGTGTTGATTACTAACAGCTTTTTTGCCTCCTGATCTAGCTCTATTTGAAAATACGCTTCGGATAAATCTAATACTGTATATTTACACCCATTACCTAGTGTGGCTAATAATTCATTAATTCTGGGTAAAGGATATTTATCTATCAAAATATTTGCATTAACCGTTTGTCTGAAATCACCGCAAATTCGTAAAGATCCATCTTTCTTCAATAAGGGTACAATCGGAGAAGCGATCTTCGAGTATTTTAGTCTTTCTAAAACTCCCATGGATTCCAGTCGTTGTAATTCCGTTTCGAGTTTTGCCTTCCACGCAAATGGTATCGGTCTACTTTTCATACATTGAAACTGTGGGTTAGATTTTACCGCTAAACTGGCCTTAAAACCTCTTAGTAAACCTAATTTTTTAGTGAATAATAAGGAAAATTTATGTACAATATTATCCTCCCAAACCTCATTAACTATATTACATTGATTTATTTTTATTAATTTTAATTTGTTTATTAGGTTTCTACCTATCAAGTTAATCCCATTGTTTACAATAATAAATTCATGATATATAACTTTATTCATATAATTAACGGGTAATATACACTTACCTTTAATATTGATCATTACATTATTATAAGATTTTAAAATAATATCCGTTTTTGTTACTGGTATTTTTAAACGGTAAACGTCTTCTATATTCAAAATGGAGACTGCCGATCCTGTGGCAATTAAAAATTTAATATAAATTTTATCTATCAATAATTTCACCTCAAATTTTTCTCGAGACTCCTCTGGAAATCCCCAATCCTCAAAACTTTCTCGCTCATTTTCTGGAACATCTATCGTTCGAATATATTCTTTTTTTCCACGATTCCTTCTGCATACTTTTTGTAAATGTCCTTTTATCCCACAATTATGGCAGATGGCATTCAAATTAGGGCATTTAGGTTTTATGTGATCTCCTAATCCGCAACAATAGCACATAATTTTTGGTACTGGTTTCTTGTCATACTGCTCCCTTGTTACTGTTTTTGAGATTTTATTTATCTCCTTCCCTGCAGATAATTTTTCATACGACATCATTTCTATAGTCTCCATTGCGGTCGCGATTTGTATTGCACTTTCCCATGTCAAGTCCTGCGTGTTAATTAATTTCATTAATATTTTTCCATTATTAATTCCTGACACTAATTTGTCCCGCAATACTGTATTATACATATCTTTAAATTCACACGTCTTTGCCTTTATCTTTAATTTATCAATATACTCTACGATGGTTTCATCTTTTTCTTGTTCCATTTTAAAAAAATAATCTCTTTCTAATAGGAAGTTTGTCTTCTTCATATAATAATTTTTTAAAAGTTTAATTATGTCATCATATGATATTTCCTCTAATGTCTTTGGCAAACACAAATTAAATAATTTAGAATAAACCTCTAATCCAATATTCGCTAATCAAAATGATTTTTTATCTTCTATTTTTGCCATTTTAAATATGAATTCCATTTTTGATAAATAAACTTCCATATGTGCACTCCTTTATATTATATTTCTCCATTTGAAACGACTGCACCATTGTGATGAAATCAATTTTTATTATAAATTTAACAACTTTTTACCTTTTGTACCGCAATATATATATATTTTACAAAACAAACAATTAATCGTCGTACACAATTAATAATATATATATTTAAAATTCATCATATATTTAATTGCCTTTGAGGCTAATTGTTTCTATTACAATCTTATACGGTAGAACCATTTAGTTGATCGAAAATATATACCTTATATTTGGAACTTTATCGACTATTGTTACTAGACGGCTATCATTCCAATAACAAGGCGATCTTTTTATCACTGAAGGTTTCAAAAGATCATCTAAGACTTTTTCCATTCGTTTTGATCCAACTAACCGATCTATGTAGATTATTCCTATACCAACTAAACCGCTTCTCCAAGCATTCTGCATAATTTGTATTAGCAAAAAATTATCTAAGAATAATGCATGTTATTGAATTCTAGAAAACTGTTAATTTTCTCAGGACTACCAAGAGGACTAGTTTTATTGTTGCCCTCGGTATAAATATCAAAATAAAAAGATATGCACAGATGAGATAAAACCCAAACTTTTACACCAAATTTTACTTGCTTTCCTCGCATGTAGATCTATATGGTTTGATTTCCATTATAGTGGATCATTTGTTCACCCAGACTTAAATTTTATTTGAATATCTCAAATTGTTGTAGATTTTAACCGATAATATATAAAAATGGTCTAACCTGCTAATTTAGGTTTTATCAATATCAAAATTGTTGGACAGATGTAAATATCCAAATTTCTTCAAAACGATTTTTAGACATTATTGGAGATAAAATATGAACCTACATATTCTTCCTGATTAATAATGCGTGTAAAGCTGTTTTAAAAAGAGATAATTTTATGCTAACTATAAAAAATCTAAAAAATAAATAAAAAAAAAAAGTTGAAAATTAAATATTGTTATTAGCATGTATTTAAATATTCCTTGATTTTATCGTACTTAAATTTTCATACTAAAAATCAGGACTATTATCTTTAAAAAAACAAAAAATAATTTAATATTAAATCATTTTACATGATATCATTCTTAAATTTTTATACTAAAACCCAGAAATATTATTTTTAATAGATTTTAAAAAATAATTTAATATTACTTTTTTTTATACAAATTCATTAAGAATTCAAATTATATGAAAAAATAATCGGTATTCTATTAAACAGTTTTTTGGTCTCTTTATAATTCGAATAACCCCCTAATTTGTTTAAGATTTTGATTACTAATAAAATTCTTATTAACTACTATTAGAAAGTAAATAGTTTTGATAAATTAAACAACTGGTTATTGAACAATACACGTGTTTTACTGTATTTTAAATTGAAATATTGGAATAGGCATTTATAGTCCCTTCCTTAGCTACATTTAATTTTTAACTTACTCACTTGGGAAAGGTTACTATTGATTTTGTACATTCTCATAACATAAAAATTATAATAAAATAAATTTAAGCATTGCTACATTCTTTCCCTAAATAAATTGAGGGCATATTTAAGAATATTCTGGTAAAATATCTTATTAATTTATTTTAAAATAGAATTCTAGTATGTATTGTAGTCAGCGTCTACATGAGCGGTGGACGTTGAAACAGTTTGCTCCCAATTTCCTTGAAGGGAGTAGACTAGGGGTACGAGAAATTTATTGGGAATTTTTTATTAAATTTTTAGATTAAATAGGGCAAAAGATATTTTCATAAAAATTAATAATTTTATTATAATAATATGTTAAACATCAATCAAATCTATATACTGTAAATAAGAGGTCTGTATTGGGCGAGATTTTGAACCATAAGCCCGCCCACCTAATGTTTTAAAAAAATTAACCCGCCCAGCCCACCCATTGTTTTCAAAAAAATATACCCGCCCGTCTAATAGTCTAGAATTTTTTAGCTGCCCACCCATTATTTATAAAAAAAATTTAATCCAAGCCCGCTAATATAAAATTTAATTATGGTCATTCTTTTTAAGTATCTAATAAAAAATATCATAATTATACCGCTACAAAAAGTTTTATAATTTAGGAAATTACTATATTGAGCATAAAAAAATATTCAATTTAAATTATGGAAAATTGATCAAATAAAATATTTATATACAAAATTGATAATATGTAATTATAATGAATCGACATTTCCTGGATTCAAATACGTTCTTCTTTGTTCTAAAAACCTTCCAGCCATGCTAAATCCTCGTTCAGAAGCACTAGTTGCAAGAATTGCCAATATTTTTCTTGCTAATCTTGATAGCTTTGGCAAATATCTTTTGTTACAAAAGTAGTTTTAGATATATAAAAAAGTTTATGTTTTATGAAAAAAGTTTTTATGATACCAAAAAAGAAAATTTTAATTTTTAATATCAAAAAAATTCACAAAAATTATTTTTTTTAAAATTTCTTAACCAGCCCATCCGCCCTTAGTTTAAAATTTTTTTTAACCCGCTCGCCAAAAAATTTTTGTCCGCCCGCCCAATGCAGACCTCTACTGCAAACAATCATAAACATTATTTTTCAAATTTATGGATCAATTTTTGCTATCCTTTTAATTGTAATATAAACGGGTTAAAGATTATACTATAATAATCTATTCTATGTAAATTTTTTAGGTTTTTTATTGAATTAAAATTCTAAAAAATAATTATTTTACGTTAACAATATTTTGATAGTTAGCAATAATAATTTAAGTTATTCTTTTTAAAATTTTGAGAAGAGTACCATAATTTAAAGGGTGTATTTAATAATGTTGAAATGCCGACGGAGGCTGCGGAAATTTTTTAGGAGGTAGGTATAGATTTTTAAGGGCGGTTTGCATCCAGTTATCCTGTCATGTAGGCGCTGGTTGTAACTAAGGTTTTTTTCTTTATTATTCTTAAGCGTTTCCTTTTTTAGCCTCCTGAATTTATGAAATATATATATATCTAACCAATGACATAAAAAATTAGAATAGTTTTTAACATGAAATTAATTATCATAAGGGTTGCCAAAAATGGCGGGTCTAGCTGATTTGCTTTTAACGATGCTTAAAAATGCATTTTAATGAATGAATCGTCGCAGATATTATTATATGTCATTGTATCTAACATAAATTTAAGCATTGCTACATTCTTTCCCTACCAAATATTTGATGGCATATTTAAAAACTCCTGTATTATTATAAGAATGGATAAATGTTATTGTCTAATATAACTAAAACTTTTTTTAACCTTTATAATTCTTCCACGATTACTTTTTTAGCCTATTGCGATTCCATCTAATTAGTTCAAGCAAAAATCATTAGCTATGATTATCACTTATTACTTCATATATACCTTAAAATTTTTACCGATTTAAAATAATATTTAAAATTTGATTGATCACCGCAAATACGTGGTCATTTTTTAGTAATAACTTCATTTTGTCAGACGACGTAAATTATCATTAGTCTATATATTCCATATGGATATGCTTTTTCAAATCTAATGAATTTTGAAGATTATGATATAGATGTAGAATATTTTTTAAAAGCTACATGTATATTTTATTTTAGCATTTACCATTAAAAAAGTACTGTGAACCTTTTGAAAAATATGAAAATGTAAAAGTAAGCATTTGGATTCAGTCATTTATTAGAAAAGTTTTATAAATGAATTTTTATACTTTAAAAAAATATTATAGATCAAAAGCACCTTTTTTTTTAAATATGTAAAAGTATTCACTAGTTTTAGGGATCTTTTATATGTTAATATGTAAGAAATAATATGTTAACATGTTATACTTTTATTTTATAGATTTATTGCTATTATCCTTTTTATACTGAAATATTATATAAACAAAAATATTTTCTATTTAAAAATTATATTAAACCTCTACATTATACTAATTTTCCTAATCACATGTTTTATTCTTAACTCTATATCAAATAATTTAACATATAATTACGTATTCAACAAATATTATTTATTCAATGAAAATCTTTTAACTTTTTTGCAAAGTCTAAATTTTAAAATTAAAGTGGGCTCCCAATTTATAATGCAACTTGAAAAAATTAACAATGCACCTAAGTATAATTCTCATTTATTTATACTTGTATATTTTTTTTTAGGTTAAATGACCTAGAATATATAAATTCCCTCAATCAATTTTATTTATTAAATATGAAGAGAGATTTTATTTTGGTTATTCAACAAGTTATTAATTTATTAGCTTACCAAAGTTACCATTATCCATCCCAAAAAGTTTTTAACTATTTAAAAATTAATTACATGTTTTAATACAGGCCACATTTAAATACATTAAAAAAAATTGTGATATTATGGTTGGAGAATCTTCTACTTTTGAAGATAATGAAAATATAACTCATGTTCAAATAACTCAAATGTATAAAATCTATAAATTTACCATAAGTGAATATCTTAAATATATTTTTTATATGAAAATTCAATCCCCAAATATGAGTTATATTGAATTGATGATCAGCATATTTAGGGGAATTTTCCTGAAGAATAAGTTGAACAAAATTATTACTCAATATGAAACAAATGTAAGATACCTCAAGGAAAAAGTATTTGATCTACCAGATATTGATATTAATAAATTAGATAATCTAACTATATCAGAAAATACTCAAAAATTTTATATACAAGCCCTTAGATATAATTTAATAGATAATCTAGCAAAGTTAATATTTATTTATTACTTTTACTTTAAATAAATTTTTCCCACAATAGGTTAAATATTTTAAGCCAATTAAATATCCAATCTTCTAAAACAACAAATATTTTACATGATTTAAAATCTAAATTCAATATAAATAGTAGATTATTGAATGAAATATTAGCATTTAGAAGTAATGATGCATCGAAAAATGAGATTATTAAAACTATTTCCCATGAACGTTTTCTTCATAAAAACGACAAGCAAAGTAAACACAGTGTTGTTTCTGATTTACTTCATTTTTTCCCAGAATTATATATCAATAAAAATGTTACCTCAGAATACTCAATTGAAGATCAAGTTTTATAACAATAATTTTTCCCCCTTTTAAAACATTTTATCATTAGTTTTTTGAATGTAATACCATAGGTAGGGACTCACTGTATCAAGATACAAGTTTGATGACCTATGATGAAGATGAATCTGCAGTTTGATATCAAATTTTTTTGAAAAAAATTAAACTTTTTTTATACCTATTAATTATATACTTTTTTTATAGTCTCTAAATGAAGAAATGAAAAACAAAATGACCTTGTTGAACAACGAATTAAAGCTTGTGTTAAAACTCCGCATGAAATTTTGGCAGATTCGAAGTGCGCTTATTGGCCATAGTTTTTCAAAAAATAGAAAGTACAAAAAAAGTATTATTCTCCAGTTCGATCACTTAAAGCTACATTTTGACTCGTTAAAATATACAGAATTTAGTAACACCCCAACGCCCTCAGATAATAATATTATAAATTTGGAGCATGAAATGGATGATATAATATTGGGTTTGGGAATCACAAATAGCGATGAAGATGAAGATTCCAAATCCAAAGAATGTGCATTGCCTATCTATAAAACTATTGAATTGAATGCCAAAAAAACGAAGATAAGTAAAAAACATCTGGACACATCAATATTAAAAATTAAGCAAACCCAACCAATGGCTGATAATGCTAAAGTTGATGAAATCATACACCCATCATGTATTTTTGGAGATAATAGTCCTTTCGATTTTGCTAAACAAATTGTAGCCAAAGTTATTTCGGATAAAGAACTTAGGAAACAAATATCAAATTCAAAATATATTGAATCTCTTGGGAATATTAGTACCTCTGGTCAGTTAATTGAAGAAGAGACTTTCGAATAAATTTGTTGTTAGATTTTATAAAAATAATATTATATATCTACATTAGAGTATTAGTTTTTTTTTAAATGAATAAATTCTACCATTATATCAATCAATGAAGATTATTATTTAATAAAAATATTATATGCTTATGATATAAAAAAAATTAAAATCATTCATTTATCTCCAGTTAACAATGTTGATTTAGCCTATGATTTATTTACAATGAAATGGAATTACACAAAACTGGATTTTTATAGGTTATGAAGTCTTTATATTCTCCAAGGGGAAATCTATATTTACCAAGGTTTTTATATCCCAACAATATCTCAACTATCCCTAAGACTTTAAAGTATGTATGGTTTAGAATACTACCAACCATTTGTAGAACTCCTTATAAAAGGTATGATTAATCAATAATGCTTTCAATTTATATAAATTTATTTTATCTATTTTTTTATTTAGATTTCAAGATATATTTATAATAATGAAAATATAATCACCACTATGCTTTTGCAATTTTTAAAATAAATTGGGCATGGTAGAAATTAGAGATGAACTCAATAATTAAAGATAAACTTATCTGTAGAATATATGTTATAATATCAAACTCAATATTGAAAAAAATCACCTAACATAACGAGAAAATCTCATGTTCTTTTAATTTTGATGAGGATGATAAAATAATTATATTAATAATAATTGATTATCTAACAAATTTTTGGATCTCATAATATATAAAGAGTTCCCTTTTTTAAAACTACTTTTCATAAAAGTAGAGATTATTTAGTCTGGCAAAGGATGTTTTTTGTGAAACTTTGTTAGTTGATAACTTTGAAAGACATCATATTTTAAATATACAAAATATACTAATTAAATTATATATTATAATTAATAGTTTATTATGTAATATTATTAAAATATTTTAAATTCGAATATATATTTAACTACGATTATAAAAAAAATATATAATTGAGGTAGTGATATTTTATTGATTCACCACTTACTTAAGGAAATAATCAGGCATAATTTTAAAATAGCTACTATACATTTAAAATTTAATAGCTATCGCTATTTTTTGAGAAGGTAGCTAATTAGTAACGGAGCTATTTTTCGTGGAAAGTAGTGTATCAAACAGAAGTCTACGACGGTACCGGTGTAGGATTGTGAAAGCAATACCCATTGTAGTTTCAATACCGTATTGATATTATCATTGTAGATTCAATACCGTATTGTTTTTACAATATTGTAGAATCAATACCGTATTGGTTTTAAAATACGTTTTCATCGCTTCAAATATATTGGCGGCCATTAAAATTGTAAAATATTTATTATTATATATTATCGCTTCAAATATGTTGCGGCATTAAATTGTAAAATATTTATTATTATATATTCTTTTATCGCTTCAAAAATATTGGCGGCCATTTTCGATTTGTAAAATATTTATTTTAAATAGATTTAACTTTTTTGAATTACCTAGATTAAAATATATATTGTAAACATGTTAAATTAATTTCAGTGAAGATGTACCAAAAGTGACAATTGTCATATTGTAAAATATTTATTTTTTAATCGCGTCAAAAATATTGACGGCCATTTTAGATTTGTAAAAAATCTATTTTATATATTTAATAGTTAAAATATATTTAAATGATTTTCTATTCTTTTATATAATTTTTTTAAGGAATTTATATTTTACTATTCTTTATATCCTGTATATTTTTATTTTTTAACTCATATTTATTAATTTTCTCCTTATGGTTAAAATGATATTGTTTGTTCAACTCCATCCTGTAGAAAATTGTAATTAAGAACAATGTACACAAATTTTCTTCATTTACCATCTTATTATTGGGATCAAGCCTTAAAATTTTAATAAACAAGCTTAAGCTAATCACAGATATGAGGGTTTCTATTACAACAAAGGATCTCAATCATTATCTCTATCACTATTATTATGCGATCATTGCCTGTTGGCTCATCTTAAAATCTTCATTCCTATCTCAAACCTTAAAATTTTAATAGACAAAAGCTAAATTAAGTCAAAGCATCTCAATAAATATCTAGTACTGAAATATGTTTTAATCATTTCCTGTTGGCTTCTTAATCGTCATTTCATTTTTTAGATGCATATATAATTTTATTTCTATCTGATTAAAATTACATTTATATTTATGGAACACAAAATATTTTATAAAATCAAATTATGTTTTATATAATTCTTTTAAACTGTAATAACTATTTTTAGTTGTATATATATTTTTTATTGCAATAAAAGACTGATTTCTTAATACTATATAAATAAAAAGGATATATCATTTTATTTCAAAAATACAAGAAAAATATTATAAAAAGAAAATATATCCCAATAACGGAAACATGATTATTACAAATTGAGTATATATTATATTATAACACGATTAAAATGATCAGAAGTCGCATTTATTAAATATATATTTAAATTAAAATTTTTTATACAGTTATTTTTTAATAATGAGGAGTATGTAATGTATTTCATCTCATTTCCATTTTTGCAATATATAATGATAGGTGTTTGAAAAAATGTGGCAGATGCTACAATATCTAGTTCATCTGCCCACGTTCCAAGTTGATATTTTTTTGTATCAACTATATGTGTGATTATATCTTTCCCAATAAAATCACTAAAAATATCTTTATTTTCAAAATGCATCATATAAGAGGTAATAGACCCCCTTATAATTGCATGGTGATCTTCACTCCCTGAGATTTCTTTGCTTAAGCACCGATAAAAACAATTACCGTCACCAAGAACTATCTCAAAATTAGGAGGATAACTTAAATTTTTAGTTTTATTATTGCTTTCTGTTAATAAAGAATATGGGATGCCCAACCTCTTAGCATGATATTTCTTCCATGCATAATTGGTGGCAAGGTAAGGTAACGGAGAAGTATCAGGCTCCTTATATAATATTATCTTAATATCGGTAGAATCTTCTTTTGCCTCATCTCCGTTATTAGATTGTTGGATGTAGGGCTTAAGGTTACACCCGTTATATTTTTGCTTTAATGGAGTATTATCTTTATTACTCACACTATAAATATCTTTATCATGTATTTTATCAATTACATATGGACCAAGCCAAGGATCAGACATTTTTCCACCCTTTCGATCCGCACGACGGGAGTTCCAGATTAGGACCAGTTGTCCAACTTCATACGATATTTTATCCTTTTGCCTTTTTTGATAATCTCTTTTTTGTCTATCTTGGGCAACAATTATATTTTCTTTCGCCTTTTTCCATACGACTGACATGCTCATTATTCTATTTAACAATTCACTCTCGTCAAAGTCATTATCAATATTATTTACATAAGAGTTTTCAGGATCATTATTTATTTCCTTAACAATATCAGGCTTAGTTGTGGAATTTAAGTCTGATGAAAGCTTTGCATTCCGACCATATAACATATAAAATGGGGTAAATCCTGTTGATTTGTGTACACTTGTTCTCATTGCAAACAGTACACCTGGAAGAACTTTAATCCACTGGGTCTGTTCATTTCCTAAAACCTTTAACATTAGGTTTTGAAATCGTATGAAGTTGGACAACTGGTCCTAATCTGGAACTCCCGTCGTGCGGATCGAAAGGGTGGAAAAATGTCTGATCCTTGGCTTGGTCCATATGTAATTGATAAAATACATGATAAAGATATTTATAGTGTGAGTAATAAAGATAATACTCCATTAAAGCAAAAATATAACGGGTGTAACCTTAAGCCCTACATCCAACAATCTAATAACGGAGATGAGGCAAAAGAAGATTCTACCGATATTAAGATAATATTATATAAGGAGCCTGATACTTCTCCGTTACCTTACCTTGCCACCAATTATGCATGGAAGAAATATCATGCTAAGAGGTTGGGCATCCCATATTCTTTATTAACAGAAAGCAATGATAAAACTAAAAATTTAAGTTATCCTCCTAATTTTGAGATAGTTCTTGGTGACGGTAATTGTTTTTATCGGTGCTTAAGCAAAGAAATCTCAGGGAGTGAAGATCACCATGCAATTATAAGGGGGTCTATTACCTCTTATATGATGCATTTTGAAAATAAAGATATTTTTAGTGATTTTATTGGAAAAGATATAATCACACATATAGTTGATACAAAAAAATATCAACTTGGAACGTGGGCAGATGAACTAGATATTGTAGCATCTGCCACATTTTTTCAAACACCTATCATTATATATTGCAAAAATGGAAATGAGATGAAATACATTACATACTCCTCATTATTAAAAAATAACTGTATAAAAAATTTTAATTTAAATATATATTTAATAAATGCGACTTCTGATCATTTTAATCGTGTTATAATATAATATATACTCAATTTGTAATAATCATGTTTCCGTTATTGGGATATATTTTCTTTTTATAATATTTTTCTTGTATTTTTGAAATAAAATGATATATCCTTTTTATTTATATAGTATTAAGAAATCAGTCTTTTATTGCAATAAAAAATATATATACAACTAAAAATAGTTATTACAGTTTAAAAGAATAATATAAAACATAATTTGATTTTATAAAATATTTTGTGTTCCATAAATATAAATGTAATTTTAATCAGATAGAAATAAAATTATATATGCAACTAAAAAATGAAATGACGATTAAGAAGCCAACAGGAAATGATTAAAACATATTTCAGTAATAGATATTTATTGAGATGCTTTGACTTAATTTAGCTTTTGTCTATTAAAATTTTAAGGCTTGAGATAGGAATGAAGATTTTAAGATGAGCCAACAGGCAATGATCGCATAATAATAGTGATAGAGATAATGATTGAGATCCTTTGTTGTAATAGAAACCCTCATATCTGTGATTAGCTTAAGCTTGTTTATTAAAATTTTAAGGCTTGATCCCAATAATAAGATGGTAAATGAAGAAAATTTGTGTACATTGTTCTTAATTACAATTTTCTACAGGATGGAGTTGAACAAACAATATCATTTTAACCATAAGGAGAAAATTATTAAATATGAGTAAAAAAAATAAAAATATACAGGATATAAAGAATAGTAAAATATAAATTCCTTAAAAAAATTATATAAAAGAATAGAAAATCATTTAAATATATTTTAACTATTAAATATATAAAATAGATTTTTTACAAATCTAAAATGGCCGTCAATATTTTTGACGCGATTAAAAAATAAATATTTTACAATATGACAATTGTCACTTTTGGTACATCTTCACTGAAATTAATTTAACATGTTTACAATATATATTTTAATCTATGTAATTCAAAAAATTTCAAAAAAGTTAAATCTATTTAAAATAAATATTTTACAAATCGAAAATGGCCGCCAATATTTTTGAAGCGATGAAAAGAATATATAATAATAAATATTTTACAATTTTAATGGCCTCCAACATATTTGAAGCGAAAATTAAATGTATAATAATAAATATTTTACAATTTTAATGGCCGCCAACATATTTGAAGCGATAATTAAATGTATAATAATAAATATTTTACAATTTTAATGGCCGCCAATATATTTGAAGCGATGAAAACGTATTTTAAAACCAATACGGTATTGATTCTACAATATTGTAAAAACAATACGGTATTGAATCTACAATGATAATATCAATACGGTATTGAAACTACAATGGGTATTGCTTTCACAATCCTACAGGTTCCTTGCTATGTTTTGCCCTTTCAGGCAAAACATGGAGATAACCGGACATCTTGGCCTTTATGTCTTTGATGTCCCTAAGGCCTTTATTGTTAAAATAAGTCAATCAAAAATTTACAGTATAGCAATAGAAAATAAACAATGAATATAATTAGCGTAATAATAACTATTTATGTAAATAAATATTGAGGGATGAATCGTTCTAGCTAAGTGTTGTTTATTGCTGTGATTTTTGATTGACGTATGTCAGGCCAGGTCTTGGGAAGAAATGGATAGTTGATCCCAATTGTACGAGACGGTAGTTGCGTCATTATCAGGTATCGATAGGTTGGATATTAGCGAAGGGGTATCTTGGCTAGACTGGGGCCCGAATAGAGATTCGTCGTCTTGCTGAAGTAAGATTGCTCCTTCCAATATGGGGCCTTCGAAGAGTCCTAAGTGTCTCCTTGGTGCCATCCAGGTTCTCGATGGTAGATCGGCTGGATTGTCTTCAGTGGGGATCCATTGTATATTTTGGGAGATGGCAGTGAAGTTGGGCAATCCTAATTTGATCATAATCTGAGTGATGATGATTTCTAGTGATGGGGATCGCGAGCCTCCTTTCCTAAAGGTATAGTATGCCACTGATGAGTCCGTGAAGACCATTGGGTGTACATTGTTACGGTGTATTGCCATAATTGCACCCATGCCGACCGCTAAAATTTCTTTGCCATTGATATGGGATATTGCGTGTATTGGAATGTTGAAGAGGAGGTATGCTTCACTGTATGCTACCGAGAGGTTGTCGGTTTCCCAGAAGTTAATATCCATGTGGGAATTAGATGCGTCGACGTATACGGGTGAGTTTGCATAGTAATGTAAGGGCATGGGTGTCGCTAACACATCGATGATTAGGCGCGCTTTGGTGAAAGCTAGGAAGGTGTCCACTACTGGGGTTAGTTGTCCGCTATTCATTGTGACGTAGTAGGGGGAAAAAAGCCTTGACATACCCGTTATGGTGTAAGCGTAGTGATTGACAACCCCTAGGACCCTGGCTGCAAGCTCAATTTCTATGTCGAGGTGCTGGTAAGAGTGTCGCCGGAAGACTTCTAGGCACTTGAGTAGTCTTCTTCTCGTACCAGTATCCGCGGAGACAGTTTTGTTGGTCAAGTTAATGGGAACACCTAGGTAGGTGATCCGCGGTGTAGGATCCAACACTGATTTCTCTGGCGCTATTTGCAAACCCCAGCCTTCGAGAGTGCAGCGTAGCGATCGAGTTGACCACTTAACGTCATTTTCGTTGGGCCCATAGATCAGAATGTCGTCCAAATAGACGTTGTAGTTGGCTTTCTTGACGGTTTTAGCGCATGCATCTAGGATTATGGATTGGAGGCAGTAGGGGCTGAAGGATGCTCCCATGGGTAGACGACCTAATGTCCATTTTGCCGGCATAAGACGCCTGCAGCGTGGCTGACACAAGCGGGATGATCTCAAACGAAAGGGGTAGTGCAGGAAGTTCTTAGAGACTTCGGAAAAGTCGCTGATAACTCTGGGCGCCCATTTCCTTTGGGAATCACGAAAAGCGGGGAACAATTTGGTCCCGTCAGCCGGCTCGATGACATTGGCGACAATGAGTTGTCTTACGATGTCGTGGTATTTATTGTGTACGCCCGCGCGGGTATTGTGTTTGAAGTATATGTTATTATTATTGTTTATTTTAAGGTGATCGATGCGCGGGCGAAATCCTCTCTCAGCAACTCTTCTAGTGAAGGGTGACATCAGTGGTCCCACTGTAAGTCTTGCGTTGCTAATATTGAGGCTAGGGCGAGCGGCTAGCTGTTCGTCCGAAAAGGTACTTCTAGGACCCCCGACAACGATACCATTAAGGATATCGGAAATGTTGGGTGTGCTTGAGGCGCCTCCCTGGGGCATACCAGGTTCATCATCGGTGCTATAGACGGAGTCTTGTAGTTCCGAGATGATTGACCGAGCTTCGCTGCTTTCCGCCGAACTACTCGATGGTAGTGAGTCAGAGAGGGGACTGGGTGTCCACCATTCGGGTATTCCAGAGTCCTCCGATAGGAATGAGGGAATATCCGATGCTGACGAAGGGCTAACTTCAGGGATGTTGCACACAGGGGTATGATTGTTGTCTATTGCGGAATCCGGTGCATCACTGTCCCTGTCAGTGTCTGTCGGCGAAAACATCTGATGCCTCAGCTCCCTAAGAAATTTATTTACTATAGTTAGCCAGCTAGGGGGCTGAGATGTTCCCGCCCTTCGAGCCGGTGGGCCGTTGCTCGGACCGGTAACCCCTGGATGTACCGGTGGGTTGTTAGTAGAAGGAGGTAGAAGAGATAGTGGTAGAGAAGAGGAGGAAGATGATAGAAGAGGAATCGGGAGTGCGACCGAGTCGTTACTTCCTTTTCTTGCCCCTGGCGGGGGCCGCATCCTTCCTTTCGGGGCGCTTACGGTAACTGGAGGTAGCGGGGCCTGTTCGGTTCCTGTCTCGAAAGGGCAAGGTGTCCTGATAAACGGTGATGTTTTCCCCGCATAAGAATTTCTCTTGATACGAGGCATCATTGTTTCTAGCGGTCTTCCAGTTCCAGTGGATGGCCAGCGCTAGCACTCGAATTCTTTTGGCTTGAACCTTCAGTATTCTGATGTCGGATTCCGGCGACAGGAGCTCCAACACTTCAGCGATGTGCTTGATCTCGTGACGATCTCTGTCGTTAGCCTTGCATCTGGGCTCTAAGAGATCTTGCTGTAAGCCTGCCCAAACTTTCATAAGTCTATCGTAGGCCTCAGCGGATGTCGCTGGCGGTTCGAGCTGGACCAAGGGCAACGTAGGCGGTGCTCCTGGTGTGGCTGGCGGTGGCGGCGCCTCGTTAGTCTGTGTACCAATCACTTGTGGGGCTCTTTCCCTCGGAGTAGACGTGTGTCTAGGTGACGGGGTACGTTGTCGCTGTCGGTCCTGGTTTACTTGTGTAGAAAGTGCTGCCATGCGATCGGAAATGGCGTTCATCGCTAAGATAATAGCACGGGTACTGGGATCGACGGGGACAGCGTCCATTGAATTGTCAGGCGTAAGAATGAGATTAGTGCCGTCCTAATTCGGGCTCTGTCCTAGAGGTAGGTTAGCGGTATCAAGAGGGGGTCTATTCCCTGCAAACGTTCCTTGAGTAATACGAGGTCTAACCATGATTTAGGATTAATTGTGTGTACAAATAAAATTTACAGTATAGCAATAGAAAATAAAATGTACTAACTTGTTCTCCTGTATCTATATTAATTGATATAAATTTATAATTATAATTTAAATATACTAATTTGTTCTCCTGTGTACTAATTTGTTCTCCTGTTTCTATATATGGATATTTAAAAATTATAAACGGTAGTAACAATTTGTATAAAAATTTCAATTTGATTGTTCTCCTGTTTCTATATATGGATATTCAAAAATTTGTAAACGGTAGTAACAATTTGTATACAATATTCTTAAAAAATTTCAATTGTAAACGGTAGTAACAATTTGTATACGGTATTCTTAAAAAATTTCAATTTGATTCGTAAAAGCTGAGGTTCGGTCATAAATTATCAATACCGTATTGTTTTTACAATATTGTAGAATCAATACCGTATTGATTTTAGATGGTATTGTTTCTACAATAATACACCGGTGCAACGTTCTAAATGAATTCCGTTTTAAATAAATTCCAATTTAGTGATATTGACATTTATGACTGACATGTTAAGATTTAATATAATATTTTAGTGATATTGACATTTATGACTGACGTGTAAGGATTAAATATAATATTTTAAATAATACTGACATTTATGACTGATATGTAAAGATTAAATATAATATTTTTATTAATACAGACATTTATGACTGTCGTGTAAAGATATACAATATAAATAAGACATGCGTTATAAAGATATGCAATATAAACAAGACGTACGATATAAACAAGACATGCGATATAAAGATATGCGATATAAATAAGATATGCGATATAAATATATACGATATAAATAAGATTAATTAAAATTTATTATGCGGTCAAAATGTTTGCGATAATTTCTTAAATATATATTCAAATTAAATTTTTTAATGTATCTTAATTTTTTTAATTGGCGTGTAATATGCCCATTTATAAATGGTATGGATAATTATATTTGTTTGAAGCATAGTTGCCAATGCAACTATCTCCACGTCTGTTCCATAAGTTGCATTTTGAGCCATGCCTGTTCTCTCCAAATATTTGTTACGGGTTCTCCCAAAAACCCCTCCATCTGCTCAACAATATCCTTGCTTCTCATAAAGAGAATGCATTGCTGTCTCAGAAAATCGTATTGGCATTCGTCATCACAAACTTCTTTGCTTATACATCTACAATAATGATTAACAATAATTTATTTTAAATATGTATACCTGAAGAGACCATTTCCATCACCAATAATCCGCTCGGTAGAAAAATTATCTCCCATTACACCATTATCATATTTTGGATATCTTTTCTTGATCGCAAAATGAAAACGTTCAGAATGATAAATTTTCCATATTCTGTTGGTGGGAAGAAATAGATTTGCATCATCTTTCTTAGAAATTACAGTCTCTACTGTCAATTCATTATCTAAAAAATATGCATAATTAAATAATAACACATATTAATACCTTTCTCAATAAACAGTCCTACTTTGTCAATTACAGCTGGTATATTAGGATTAGAAGGCATAACTAATAATTTAAAAAACAAATTATATCGATTTATAAAAATATTACTATTTTCTCGATGGCTACCAAGCTCTACCATCTTCGTTTCATCATTTAATATCTTTATCCTCTTAAAATCTGCATCATCTTAAAAATACATATAATAATAAATATTTTATATTTTTGGTCTTCACAATTCTTATTCTCTTCCCCAATAATCGTGTTGAGTAATTTTGACACTAAATATTTAAAAAAATTATTGTGAGTTTTATAAATAATACAGTTCAAGTGACTTGAGCATTTAACTCCTCATTATAACTCACTACTTCAGAGTTTTTATCATCTAAAATATATGTATATTACTAAGTAATTAAGATAATTATATACCTTTTCTTGCAAAGTAATGTTTTATATTACATATATTTTCTTTGCTCTTTAAAATGCTACCGTTAGCATTCATGAGCTCAACATTGCCTAAATATTAAAAATAATTTAATAATAATGATAAATTTCACTTTTAAGAATCCTAAATATTGTATAAAGGCCCATCCAAGGTCTGGTCATTTTACCACCTTTCCTATCAGCCCGACGGCTGTTCCAAATAAGCACTTGATCATTGACTAAATAATTGTTATTTCTACCAGCATTACGACTTCTATAATCCCTCTGCTGTTTAAGCTGAGCAAGATCTATATTGCCAGCAGCTATCTCATGAATATCATTAATCCTGGAAACTGTATCTTGAAAACAAGATTCCAAATCTGCTTCAGGTACATTGTAAGGATCAATATTTTCTTCCTCGTCAATCTTAAATAGAGACATAATATATAGTATATTATAAAATGAGATTTATCATACCCCATAAGCTTGTTTTGCTTTTCTATCATACATCAGCTCATATGGTGTAAATTTCAAAGATTCGTGTAGAAAAGTGTCATAGGCAAATATTATGCCAGGCAAGGCATCTGTCCAAATTAATTGATTATCCTTAATACACTTTGGTAGTGCATTTTGGATTGTCCTATTCACTCTTTCAACCATGCCATTTGCCTATGGTCCCTATGAGTTTGTGAAAATTATTGCTTATTTCATTCACAAACTCACGTCCTTGATCATTAATTTGATTCTATATATAATATTAATATTTTATTACCAAATTTATTATACTTTTGCCCTACCATGTGTGCATAGTAACGAGTAAAGGAAGCGCAATACCGATTTTGCTGTTTTATTTTTTAAAGGCATGGCTACAATATATTTTCTGAAATAATCAACTGCTACAGCAATGTATTTATAGCCATCCTCACTCTCAGACAAAGCACTTAAATCAACACCTATTTGTGTCCATACCTTTTGTAAAATAAAAGATTGTTGTTATATTATATACTCCATTAGGAGGTTAGGTGTCATGTAATAAAGTAAAGCTGCTTACCATTATTTATGATTGCAGCTGAAAAAAAACATAATAATAAAGAATGAGGTAAAATCTAAATTAGCTAAAAAATGAAATTATGATATAAAAATCAATTTTTACCTGAGATTGAAGGGGACTATATTAATTTTATTTATTATATTTACAGATTATAAGTTTTAATTATTATATTATATGCAAATTATATTCTTATTTTGGAATGTTATATTAACCTTAAAGAAACTAAAAATGAATATATGATATATTTCTTGTAAAAAAATTCAATAAACTTTAAATGGTTCAATATATGAAACCAACATTACTAATAAAAACAAGTGCCACATACATATAAGCTATAATGGACAGATCATTAATAAGGCTACAAATGAAAATATAAAATACATAAACAAAAATTAGAAACAATTATAATGACCAAACTATAAAAATTTTCAAATTAAGGATTTGTTATGTAATCAACTTTAATAACTTTGTTGGAATAGGAATTGAATGCAACTCATTGTTAGTTTTGTCAAATCTTGTGTTGCTAGCTGGCTAATATCACAACATTTTACAAAATAAACCACATCCTATTTCATATTTGGCCACCAGAAGCTAAAAATATAATACATGATATAATAAATAGATTTATTATGCAGAAATATTTTACCTACTAGTCAAGTAGCTGTGAGTCTTGGTGATACCAAAATGGTCAGCTAAAGATTTTGCCTCATTAGTATTACATCCACTCCACTATAACTTTTTAAAGAAGTTAAACTCTTCTGTTACAATCTAAAATTGTTTCACTATTATAAAAATGGTGAAACAATTTATTATTGTGTATTATATTTAAAAATATATTATTGATCATATAATATAATTTTTATATATTTTACCTATCAGCCAATTTGCTGTAAGTCTTGGTGATACCAAAATGGGCAGCAAGAGATATTGCTGACACATTAGTATCACATCCACTGTGAACCATTTGAAGAACTTCACCATTATGAGAATGGTGATGCATTTTACCCTTACAAATTTTATATCTCGAGGCCTGAACTCGCAGATTGCATCTTAAGCCTTTATTGGAAGACATAGATGATGGATATTTTTGGTAAGGATATAATCCAATTCTATTAAAATGAATAGAAATGTACTAAACAAAATTTATTTACTTGATTTATCGTCTTTCGTCATTTGATTGGGGAAACAAAGGATAATTTTGGTATCAAAAACAACTGTTGAAATGAATAAAAAAAATATATATATAATAAATGGCCCAAGAACATATCCAAAAATTTAATTTATAGTATTCAATGAAAATAAAGAATATTTCAATGTATTTAGGCAATCATTTTGTTTGCAAACTGAAATTTATCTTATAGAAAAAATTTGCAATATTTTTTTAAGTTAGCAAAGATTTAAATAAACTTAAATACAATAAATATATTATTCAATGTAAATATAGAATATTTCAGTGTATTTAGAATCATTTTGTTTGCAATACTGAAATTTATCATATAGAAAATATTTGCAAAATTTTTTAAGTTAGCATAGATTTAAAACTTAATTGGAATGAAAAATTATCATGCTAAGACCACATTCAAAAATTTAATTTATTATAAATTTACAATATTTTTATAAGTTAGCAAAGATTTAAATAAACCTAATTACAATAAAATAAAGAATATTTCAGTGTATTAGGCAATCATTTTATTTGCAATACTCTTTCTTTCTTTCTAAATTTATCATATAGAAAAAATTTGCAATATTTTTTAAGTTAGCAAAGATTTAAATAAACTTAATTGGAATGAAAAATTATCAGGCCCAAGATCATATCCAAAAATTTAATTTATTGTAAATTTGCAATATTTTTTTAAGTTAGCAAAGATTTAAATTTTCTTAAATACAATAAATATATTATTCAATGTAAATAAGGAATATTTCAGTGTATTTAGGCAATCATTTTATTTGCAATACTGAAATTTATCATATAGAAAAAATTTGCAATATTTTTTAAGTTAGCAAAGATTTAAATAAACTTAATTGGAATGAAAAATTATCATGCTAAGACCATATTCAAAAATTTAATTTATTGTAAATTTACAATATTTTTATAAGTTAGCAAAGATTTAAATAAACCTAATTACAATAAAATAAAGAATATTTCAGTGTATTTAGGCAATCATTTTATTTGCAATACTGAAATTTATCATATAGAAAAAATTTGCAATATTTTTTAAGTTAGCAAAGATTTAAATAAACTTAATTGGAATGAAAAATTATCAGGCCCAAGATCATATCCAAAAATTTAATTTATTGTAAATTTGCAATAATTTTTTAAGTTAGAAAATATTTAAATAGCTTAATTGAAATAAAAAATTAGTAGGTATACTCAAAATAAATAAATATTCTATTAAAATTGCTAAAATTTATTATTAGAAAAATTACAATCATTTACTTTGCAAAGTTGAGTATTGGTAGAATAATAGGTTTTTATGCCAGTTTATAAGTTAATCGTTGTTATAATGCTATCAAATATATATAAATAATTTTCATTGTAGGCCAGCAATTGACTATGTTTTAATATACTTTATCTAAAATTAATTAAATTAAGATATTAGAAGGATATATTATTTACTACTTTGCAAAATTTATAGGTCAGCAATATTTACAATTGATCTTGATAGATTCTTCATAAATCTGATTTAAACGAACTCCCACTTCAATCAAATATGTCAATATCAGTAAAAAAAAACATGTCAGTCATAAATGCCAATATCACTAAATAAGAATCTATTTTTATGGAGAAACCAGTCGACAGGGGGGTGGCGAGGTTTTGAAATTATGTTTGTTAGTAGAGTCTTTCCGTGAGTGATAGACTATTATATAACAATCAAGCCATAATGCCTTTTATTGATCCTGGCCAACAATTACTTTTCCATTTCCTAAAACTTACGGAGCTGGTTCCTATTTCTGCGTCATAGTTCCTTTCTCTCATATCTTTATCATTATCAAAGACCTTTTTCGCTATATAATCCTATCACTCCATAGAGTATTTTGTTTCTCTGGAAAAAGAAAAAAATAACCTTTGTTGTGTGGTGTTCGTTGCTGGATAGTCTTAAACCTATTACTGACTAGTTTTTGCCTATTCACTGGAATTTTCATCTATTTAAACAATTTGCGGTAAACCCATTAGCTTTTTCTTATTTTCATGAATAAATTCTAATCTCAATTGATATGAACACATTCTCAATTATTGATAGTAATTATCAAGGCTTACATTAGATGTTAAACTTAAAATTAGTCACCACCCACCCTTAAAGTCATTAAATTATTTTTACAGTTCTTGGGTATAGGCTTTTGTTTTGCCCATTTCTTTTTGTTTATTAGCCTATAGACGTTTAAGCAACAGTTCTTGGACTGTTGCGCGTACAAGTATGTGCGGCTTGACCACAAACATGTGTTGGGCTCATCATTTTTCTCCCCTTAATTAACTATCCAGTTTGATGGATTTTTGAGGAAAACCTAGCGTAGCTCTGTTATATCCACAACCAGAGGGCGAAAACGCTTTTATCACGTATTTAAATCGGGAGTTTATCTAAAACGTTACAAATTTAAAAATTGAAATAATTTTTTTTTGACGCTAATATAATGAAATAAAATTATAAATTCAAGATTTATCTTTTTGGATTGTGATTAGTTTTTATTTCTTTTTTTTAAACACCCAGATTGTCGTAAAATATAATAAAATTTTTATTTATTAGAGACAAAAAATTAATATAAGCATAAGAAAATATCAAGCTAAAAATCATGAGAGGAACAACTTTTTTTTAATTTTATTAAATGAAAATGTTCCAAAATAATATCGTATGGTATCATACACTTGGGAGACATCCCACAATTAAGTGGGCACTCCACCTCCATATAGAGAGCATCTCCAGTGCAATGAATTTGCATCCACTGTTTGGCGGTAATTTACCCTAATTGAAGGTACCTATTGTGGATAAGAGGATCCACTATGCTATGAAGAGGATTCTGAATATAATATGAATGGTATACTATTTTGAATTCTCCCTTAACACTGAATTCTAATTTCTATAAAATGTTCTAGAAATTTTTTATTAAAAGCTTCACAGTAATTAGCATAGTTTATTGGTAAGAATAGAGAAATAAGAAAATATATAATTAGTTAATAGTGTGCTTATCTTTTTAGAAATTTGTTTCAATAGAATAGTTAATTTTTGATGGTGATAATTATTTATGGGTTTATGATGATTATGTGAATCCATTGTGATTAAATAATTGTAACAAATCAAGTGTATTTGATGGTAAATCTAGAAATAAATTTAATTAGTTATTCTGTGAAAATTCGCTTGGTATATCATTGCATTTAATAATTAATAGTTTCTTATATTAAAAATTAATCTTATAATTTTGCCAGATATCTAAAATAATATACAGCTACCAGTGACGTAGCTAGGAATTTTTTTTAGAGAGGGAGCCCCTTTAACGGGCCTTCGGCCCTTTTTACAAATCATAACCATATCTTCTATAATATATATCAATAATATGATATTATAATTTAGTAGATTATTCAATGACTTTATAAGAATACTATCCAGAATAATTTCAATAGTAATATAATATCCTTCCACAAACATCAAAACCAGAAAAACATAAATATTAATGGCATTTATTTAATATAAAGTCACATTTAATTCTTTTGAACGTATAATCTAGAAAAAAGATCTAGCTCTGGGAGGGGTCCGAACCCAAAAACCACCCCCGCAGTGGCGTCGCTAAGGAGGGGGGCGCAGTGGATCGAGCCCCCTGAAGCAAAAAATTTTTTTTTAATTGCTCATTAATATCTCCTTGAGCTAAAAATAAATTTTTTTAATTGCCCTCTGAATAATTACTTTTATAATTCTATTGAGTAATATATAGATTTAATTTTATTAAAAAATTAATAAGACTATCTTAATTTTTATTAAATGAATACTATTTTAATTATTAGATTAGATTATTACATATAAATTATACTATGTCAGCTTGCAATCAAATTCTGTGTTAAAAATATAACAATATCACTTACTAAATACTAATTTAGCTTTAACAGTTGAAGCTTAATTGACTTTTATTATTTAAATTATTATATAACCCTAATAAATATAATTATTTATTAATTGAAAATTAATAATTTAATATTTTAGCCGAGTTCAAAATCACTAATCAACTATACTATTGATTTTTAAATTTAATTATCATGTCTCTTTCTAAAATTATTTCAAGGTCCAAATCCAAATAAGTATAAGAGATTTATTTATAAAAAGTAAGTAGACAGTTTATAATCCTCTATTATATATAATTTTTTATAAAATATTAGGTAAAATGCCACTTTTACAGACGTATCTGACAGTTATATAATATATTACAGTTAATATTTTTAAAATTTTACTAATAAATGCTTTTGATAATAAATATAAGTAACAATTTGCTTACAAGTATTTAACGCCATCTATTTATTTAAAATATAATTAAAGTTAAACGTATTATTATTCATCCTACAATAGATGTAATAAATTATATATCTTTTCTTCTCTTTTTTACATATTTTTAGTAAAGCTATATTTTTCTTCTTCGCGAAATAGATTTGAGTTAATTAATACAAATATATTTTTGATATTATTACAAACTACTTTTATTTTAAGATATAATATACCAACAAGAGATGTAGCGACAATAATATATAAAATCTTAATTGCTTTTATATAAAATTTTAATTGCTTTCATGTTATCACTATGGTTCTTATTTTGTAGTTACAGAATGTTTCATTTCTTATATGGCATCCTTGCCGTGTAAATAACTCAAGGCTTCAATATATTTGCATAATTTCATCTAAAAGTTTTAATGTTTTTGTTTTATCAATTTATCTAACAGAATAAATTGTGATGATTTACCATCGTGAGTGTCATGGATAGTACTGCAAATTAACCAATATCTATTATTTGTGTGGCTTAGTAATTTATGTTTATTACTACAGATGCTGAGAGCATATGATCGCACATTTTAGATAAGCAATAGGTCAACTGTGTAGTCGTTTATATAACATTGAAAATGGAAGATAATCTTTTAGAAGTTTAATATCATACATAAATTTTCTCGATTACTTATCTAGCTTCCATCATGTCGTCTAAGAGGAAGCTCTAACCATCATATAGTTTTATGATTTGGATTGGTCGTTTATATTCTCTTCTTCAAGAATTGTAGATTTGGTAAGGTCTCTAAATTTTTTCTTATTAGTCCATTCTATAAAACATTGTCTAAAATGGTAATAGGGAGTTATATTAGTTTCATGATCTTTTGTCAATGTAAGTTGCTAAAAATTATATTATATTATTTAGTTTACAAAAACTATTATCAATTGAGGCATATAGGAATTAATTAACCTTTTTATCATTTATTTATTTAGACGCAAAATCATTTTATATCAACAATCGAAAATATTTTATACTGTAATAAATAGATTTTCTATTAAAAAATATTATTTTTAGAAATGTCTTGTATTATTTTTATATGTTAGTTTATTTTGTATGCAAAATATAATATATGACATTCAGAATAATTATTTAGAGTTAGTAAATTTTAAAAAAGTATAATATATTAATATATAACCCGGCCGAAGGTCCGGTGGCCCGCAAATTGGGGAGTAAGAGGGGCGAAGCCCCCCATATAAAATTTTTAGTTGAGCCCCCTGAGATTGTAAAGACTAGCGACACCCTGCATCCCCGTAGCTACGCCACTGACAGCTACCATTGATAATGGAATAAATATGATCAAAAACCATGAGATAGACAAATTATTAAGGTGTTATTGATTGACAATTTTTTTTTTAAAGTTGTTAAAAATTTATTTATTTTAAATATATAATGTTGTAGTATAACATTTAATACCATTGCATTAAACTATATAAAATAATTTCCAAAGCGGTTCACGAGCTTGGTATTAAGAAACCTGAACGTAGTTCGCTAAAAACGTAAAAGATACTTATAGATTTCGCGCTTTTATGTTGTGGGTTTAGTACAGGCCTCACTAACTAACCTGCTCAAAAAAAAATTTAAAATTATTTTCTGAATAACTTTTTTTAAGCTAACATTATCCAAAATGACTTTTTTTAGCTAACATTATCAAAATTAAGTAGGTATTTTTAAAAAATCATAATTTTAGGAGGCTCTTCAAATTTTTAGGGGTATCAAGCCCCTGAACTCCACCCTAGTGACCCTAATTGTTTGGTGTAATATATTATTGAATTTAACCCCTAACTCTTTATAGCATGCATAGACCTATAACTGCTAACGCGGTCTATGAATTTGCTATCGAGCCTTAGACTGAAATTACCTTTACTAAATGTAGTATGTTTAAATATAGCGATCTTAATCCCTTGCTATTACAATCCACACCATATCAACTTTGATTATGAAAAGCAAAATCTTTTAAATTAAAATAAATACTCATTATTAAAAAAATGAAGTGATTTAGATTCTTTATTCAGTTATATATATAACATATTAAATATAGAATAATATTTAACTCTTCAATATGCTTTAAAATATGTTTTAATAATACAAATTTTGAAATAATCATTCATATCTACCAGTCATTGAGTGCATAGGCTTAGCCGGGGTTGGGGGGCAAGGGGATATTTCCCTTTTCAGATATATATCATTTTTGTGAATATCATTTTAAGCTAATACGTATCACGTAAGCTAATAAAAAATATCCCCCTTAGCCCCATTCTCGTCCCAGTCGCCCAAAAATGTATGCTTATATAATTTAAACAAACATTTAGAAGCAAGAATATAAACAATAAATTTTTAAATGACTATAATTCATATTGTTTTGGAAAAAAGGATTTATATTAAAAAAAAATGATACACCAAACATATAATTTAAGAAATGTTTTGCATCAATGTATCTATATATATAGATTTAAATATATGTTATACATACTAATAAAGATATATTTTTCATTTGTTCCAGACCTATATATTTTTGATACCATCTCTTCATAACCAATTAATACATTTTAAAACATTATAATAAGTTGTTTTCATTATAATTACCTATCCTGTAAAAATATTTAGTTATATATGAGCTAAGAAAACCCATAGGGGCAAAAGCGGAGCAAAGGTCCGACAAAAAAAGACTCTGGCGTGAACCACCTACTCCCCCCCCCCCACACACTCATTCTGAAATTTATTAATCCCCCCACTTTCTAAGAAAATATTGGCTACATCTATGCTTGTTACTATTTCTACAAGTAACGACCTATACCTTTAATAATGATAGCTCAAATAAATTTTTGGTTTTAACCTCGTAGTTCAGAAGTATCCATTAAGTTTGCAGCAGTGAAGATATCATCGTTCTTATAAATATATCATTGGTTCTTATATAATAATAAATATTTCTAAATTCAAACTCCGAAATATTGATATACTTTAATTTATAAATCTTAATAATATTACAACTATAAATAACATAATGTTAATATTACATAAATTTTTCTACTTAAATTGTAAAAAAAAATTAAATTATTTTGCTGATCCAAATTACTGAAATCTCGATAATTATATTCTTTAATTTTACATAATTAAAAATATTCCTAGATCTTAACTCTTAAGAATATTTATGATTCCTAAATTTTAACTCTCAAATATAATTATTAATATTCCTAAATTTCAACTAGAATAATTATTAATATTCCTAAATTTTAACTCTCAAGTATAATTAATAATAATCCTAAATTTAAACTAGAATAATTATTAATATTCTTAAATTTTAACTCTCAAGTATAATTAAAAATATTCCTAAAGTTAAACTAGATTAATTATTTATATTTATAAATTTTAAAATTATTAATATTCCTAAAATTAAACTAGAATAATTATAAATGTTCATAAATTTTAATTATTAATAAGTATATAACATATAAATTAAATTTATTATAAATATTACATGATTTTGTTAATAACATGAATTATTTTTAAAAAATTAACATATTTTTCTGATCCACATTCCTAAAATCTCAATAATTAATTATTAATATTCTACAGTTTAGAAATCTTAACTTGATAATAATAATTAAAAATAATCCATAAATTAAGCGAATCATAAATAATTATAACAAATGGCTTTTTAAAAAAAAATACTTATTAGCACATCTTAAAATAAATCAAAATATTTTTAAGCTTGATTTTTATTTTGCGTTTTTTTGATAATGATTGACTGAAACAGATTGGACGAAATTCATCAAGTTTATCATACGCTTCTTATTATTTATTTCGGCATGTCTGTCGTTTCTGATTCAATTTTGAATAAGAAATTAGATTTTGATATAAAATTACTACCCGATGAAATATATAATTCTTATCAAAAATTATTAAATAGATGCCTATATAAAAATTCCCAATGGTATTTTGATTGTTTCATGTGATTATAAATATATGTCTCATAGGTTTGCAGAGTTATTATTCTCTATAGATGATAGTACAACACCAAATATTGAACATAAAGTTTAAACAGTATACTCTAAAATAATGGTTATTTATATTATGTTATATTTTAGGAACAAGCTTTATCTAACAAAAATTACATATTGGCAAAAGGCTATTTTGATGTAAAAGAATATGAAAGAGCAAGCTATTACGCTAGAGATAAGGATGATACTCTGATATCCTTTATATATTTTTATTCTAAATATCAAGTAAATATAATTCATTTTAAACTTAAATACATTCTTTATTGAAGGCACTTAATTTTAAATCAAACCCAAGTTTTCAATTTTCTCATGGTAAAGGCCATTATCATGCTATAATATATATATTTATTTATATAGTCATATATGAAGATGATTTAAATGGCTACAAAAATGATTATAATTCACTCTATAAAGAACTAAATGATTTATATTTAAATAACAAGGCAGATGGGTATCATTTGTATATGTAATAAATATTTTATTTATATGTTATATTTTCATATTTTATAAACTTTCAATTAGTAAAAGTAATAGTTATTTATTACCTAAACACATTGTTAACAATTATTTTAAGCCTGGGAATTATTTTGGTTAAGATGAATTGCCGAGATGAAGCACTTAAAATATTTATTGAATCCATAAACTTGGAACCACATATCTGGGGAAGTTGGCTTGAAATGGTGGATCTTATACCAACTTTTGAACAAGTTTCATTTCACATTCAACTTAAAATCTTAAATATATAGTTCCAATAAGATAATAAATATTTAATCTGATATAATATCAATTTTTGATTGAAAACTTTATATATTTTTTTTTGCTTTGTAATATATTTTATTGGGTATGACTAGACCTGTGCGCCGACAAAACTATCGGCAGCCGGCACAATTTTCAAAAATCTAATCAACGGCTGGCGGCACACCGATTTTTAGCCGCCGTCAATAAAATAGGCGTAAATCGGCGCAGTTATAAATTTTTATAACATAAATTTTTTTAATTGCTTATTAATTTTTTAAAAAAACATATAAATATACACTATACTACAGATATCTCGGCATATTTTTTAATATTCATTTAATAGAAAACTTATATCCAAAATCAATTTTGTAATTTTATAATATCTTGTATAAAAATTATTTTATTTAAATTTTCGGGACATAATGATGATCTCCTTGAATTTAACGTCAATCCAGCAGTAGAGAAAACTCTTTCACTGAGTGTGCTAGTCGCAGGAATGCAAAGAATTTTTTTATCGAGACAGGAAAGATTGGGAAGTTCTCTTCTTTTCTCTCCAAAAATTTAGAACGTCCATATCTTGTGAATGTCGTTATCCAAGAAAACTGTGGCATTCTTGTTCTAAGTCACCTAACTTGGAATCAGAATTTATATTTGTTGAATGTTTATTTGCCAATTTTGTCAAATAACTTGAATTTAATAATCTTCATCCTCATTAGCTATATTTACTACCTGTTTATCATTATTCTCTATAAGTTTAAGATGTTTTATTATAAATTCTCAAGCTGAGCAATTTTGCTCTATTAAATACTTTGACACAATTGTCAATTTTCAAAATCTTGGATCTAAAAGAGAAGCCAATACCTAGATAATTTTAAATAAAAAATAAAAGAATATACTTATATAATATTATTTGCAGATTACAAACCGGAAATCGTAATGCAAGTTTTTTTTAGTATATTTTCCTTAAATGAAATAATTTCAGAACTATCATTAAATGTGTTTCAATTTCTCCTAAAAAGTAACGCCAAATTTAAAGTATGCCCTTTTTGTACTGAAAGAAATTCCACAGTTTCCTTAAATTTTGAAAGAAATGCTAATAGTTCTTCTACCAGATCAGATTCATAATTTGAGAAAGTGCTTCCCAATTCTTTTCAAAACATTTTTAAAAATTCTTATTTAATCCAGATATGCTTTTTATCATAATTAATATACTATGCCAACGTGCTGGGATATTTAATTTTAAGGTTTTCATATGCATAAAATTATTGTTATTATTATCATTGGAATTGCCAATTTGAAAAAGGGTATCCGAGTATGGATCAATGCTGTCAAGATCTAACATGTCTGATGTTAAATCTATTGTACTGACATTTTCTTTTATATTCCTCAAATTAAAATTCAACTTCTGCAGTTTTATATCTTAGAGCAGTAATAATTTCTCAAATTCTTTTGCAAAAAATTTCCAGACTATGGATTTTTTATTATCCAGAGTTAGGATATAAAATTATTTATAGAATTATTATATGTAGATGCATCCATTTTAAAAATATATAAAATTATGGTAACTTTTAGAATTTTAGATTTTTGATTGATTGAATTCTATAATGAGTCAATATAATTATGATTTTAAAATAGTAGAAAATAAAAATTTATCAAAATCCTGATTGACATTAAAAAATTACAAGAGTGATGTTGACCAATTATTAGAATAAAAAGGTATATTAATGAAAGAAATTTCTGCGCCGGCTGTGCGCCACCGACATGAAAATCGGCGGCATTTTCGGTTGCACAGGTCTAGGTATGACTAAAATATGCTACCCCAGAAACTATGAATCTCATATTAAAGCAATTATATATAAATAATATGGATTCCTGTTTAGCTCTTTAATATGAATTAGGAAATGTTTTTTTTAATTTAAAAAAAAATGGTAAAAAAAAACATTTTTCATGACTAAAATATGTATCCTTGCTAATTATGGACTATAAATTATTAATGGATTTCTGTTTATCTCTTCAATCTGATTCAAAATGTAAAAATTAATTAAAAAAATTATTTTTAAATAAGTGGGATAATAAAAAAAACTATTTGTTTTTTGACTAAACTAAGAATTCCCTAATAATGCCTCAAGTTAAAAATAAAATAAAATATGGAATCATGTATAACTCTTCAAGAGGATTCAGAAAATGTTTTTCAAAAATATAATATTTTGAATTAATTATTTGACAAACTAAAAATCCCCTATATTATAAAAACTTGGATTAAAAATAAATAGAATCATGTATAACTCTTCAAAGGTTCAGAAGATGCTTTTTATAATTTTAAATAAAATTGGTAAATTAGGAGCTGAGGGTCACCATAAGGTATAAACTTGGCTGTGACCTATATTTACCCCATAAATGTAAAGTTTGCCAGAAAGACTCCAATCATAAGGGCCAATATGGTTTAATCTGTTTATATTCTAAAAAATGGAGTTGAATAGAGGTATTAACTCTATAATATTAAACAAATTAGGGTTGGCTAACAACTGCCCAAACCTCCTGGAACCTGTTCACTTATCCCTGTCTAATGGTAAAAGACCAAATGGGCTCACAAACATTTTTGGTTTAGAGGAAAACATCTTATTTGAGATTCCACTCGTGTCTCCCAAGTTTCCTCTAACCCAAACAATGATCCAATTATTACAACTGAAAGGTCAACAATTAGAAAGTACCACAACTTTTTTGATTTTCACTTTATCCCAATAGTTATTTCTTATGGGTCTCTAGCCCCCTAGGCTATCTTTTTTTTTAAAGATTTTAGGTAAAAACAATTTTCATATAAATGGTGATCATGGATCATCTTTTAGTTATAATCAACTCTAATCACATTATTCCTAGGCAACAATCTTAGTTTCCTCAGATCTCAATAAGAGCCCCCCCCCACCTCTATATATTTGAAAAAAATATATAGTGTTCTTGTTTTTGTCTTTTTTAAATTGTTTACTTAATTTTTTTACATGTTATTTTAATATAGTTTTATATATTATACGAGTTTTTAATATAAATAAAGATATTATATTTATTTTTAAAAAAATTAGTAAAAAAACGAAAAAAAATTTTTTTTAATGATTAAACTAGGAATCCCCTATTAAAAACTTAAATTAAGAAAATAAATATAGAATCGGATTCAGTGTGTTAATATTAACTTTTTTAAAATTTTATATTAAAAAATTAATTTTTTTCACTAAAATAAGAATCCCTCAATAAAAAGGCTCAAATTTAAAAAAATGAATAGAGAGGCATTTATAACTACTCAGGAGAATTCAGAAGTTGTTATTCATAATTTTTTGACTAAACTAAGAATTCCCTATTAAAAAGGCTCAGATTTAAAAAAATATATAGAATCATTACAACTCTTTGAGACAATTTTAATTTTTTTTAAAATATATTTTTTTGGACTAAACTATGAATCCCCAAAAGGCTTTAATTTAAAATTAAGATGCTTTTTTTAATTTAATAAAAATGGGTATGAGTAAAATGCGCTACCCCTTAAACAACGCGTCCCCTATTATAGAGCGCAAATTTAATAAAATTATTATAGAATTGTGTTTAGCTTATCGAGTTAATCTAGAAAAATTTTTTTAATTAAAATGGTGAATTGATGAAATCCTAAAAAAAATACTTTTTTTACATGATTAAAATACACATCCCTACGCAACCTTGATTAAAATGTTAATATTAATCAGTGTTGTTATATGGCTCGATTTTTAAAAACGACTAGCCCAATATTTTAGACAAAAAATATTACGCAAAGGAGATTTGGCTCATAAATGGCAGAGAGGTTTGGACATCTATTAACGAAACCACTAGGCTTAACATAACATTATTTTAGCTAGATTTAAAATTAGCTAAATCTAGCTGTTTAATAACAATAATATTAATTTTAAAAAATTTTCTTATATTAGTGGGCTTTTGTTAAACACTTTTTTTGACCAAACTACGTGTTCCTATTTTTTGTTAAACATGAATCGCTACGCTGCCCTTATTAAAAGGCTCAGATTTTTAAAAAATTATTGTAGAATCGTGTTTAGCTTGTTGAGATAATATTAAGATATTATTTTTAATTTAAAAAAAAACTGGTAAATTAGTAAATTTTTTTAAAAAAACACTTTTTGGATGACTAAAATATGCATTCCCGACAAAGCCATACGCATCCTCGATAATTATTCTCTATTTTTTAAAAAAATGAATGCAGATTCATGTTTAGATCTTCGAAGGGATTCAGAAAATGGTAATATTAATTTTTATTTAAACAATTTTAATTATCGATTTTTTTTTATTAAACTAAACATTCTTACTCTACCCCTATTTAAAGGGCTCAAATTTTAAAAAATTAGTATAGAATCGTGTTTAGCATATTGAAATGATAAATTGGTATTAATAATGAATATTAAATATCTATGAAAAGGTTTAAACTGTATATAAAAAACGTTCTACTTGAAAAACAGGTATTTTTGTTAGTTATTTTAAATTGCAATCAAAACAAAATTTACAAACTACATAAACAAGTATAGAAAATATTGATATTCCAGAACCCCGTGGATTCCAAATCCCAATAAGATAGGTATATTACTTTAGAAGACATATTTCTGATTTAACCGGAATATTCCAGTAGGTTTAGAACCAACAATGTATTTCCGACAATTTTGCGTTTAACTTTTTAAACTAACTTAGTTTATCTTCATTTTTATAAAGATGTTTCATTTAAATTGAAAAATACACAAAATTTGATGGAAAATAGTGTCTAATATTTACAGGGTAGTTACTCTACATATTACGAAATGCATTTCCAATCAAATCAGACATTCCAAATTTATGAGATATTCCGAATCCCCAATAATTTCATATCCCAATACAACATACACAAGCGATATATATATTAAATGTATTTTAAGTGAAAATAAGTGTCTTCCTAACAATTTTAATTTGATAAAATATTTTGATATTTATGTAATACATTTTTTTTTAAAAAACTAGTAATTTTCATTATTTTACTTCTTATTATTTAAGATAACTACCATGCAATTACCTAAGCATTGGATAACATATTTCTTTGTCTCTCGTTATTTAGTTAGAGATAACAAATGGGAAATGGCACTTAATATTTACCAATTACTAGAAGATTCCGGATTTAAAAAATGCATATATATTAGAAACCAAGTCGCTAACATTCACTTTCAAATGAAGGGTTTAAAAATTATTTTACATTGACATTTTAAGCTTCCTTTTTAAGGCCATAATTTCACACTTTACTAGTCTTAATAGCTAATTTTTAACTAAGTCAAGGTTTTGGGATATATTTAAAAATTCTTTTTAAAAAAACTATCGAAGTAAAATATAGCATTCACTTAATCAGTGGAAATTTCTTTTATTATCGACATTGTACTCTCTAGATGTTACCTTCAAATTTAAAAGCTTATAATTTTTTTATATATACTTTAAAGATATGGAGCAATCTTTAAAATCGTTTCAAAATTTACAAATCACAGACCCTTATTGTTTAGACAATATCGATATATATTCCAACGTTTTGTATGTTTTGGTAAAAAAAAATATATAATTAAAAGCAGTGGTTTATGTATATTAGAACCCTCTATCTGACTTACCTTTAGGTCAGACCCGATCCGAGAAAAATTTTGTCTTTCCAATCCAATAGTTTTTTTTCAAAGATCCGATCCGAATATCTTCTTTTTTTTATTTGAACTGTTGAAAAAGTAAGATATTTTGACGAAATCGAAAAAAATTTTAAGCGCCAAATGTTATTCTTAATAAAAAATATTAAAAAAATGAGATAATTAAAAATTTTATCCGATTCTTATATGATCCGGAAAAATTTTAAGATTACGATCCATATGCGACCCAGTTCAAGAAAATTTCTGGCCTATCCGAGTTTGGCAAGATTAGGTTTTAGGGGCTTACAGTTAAAAGACTAAAGACCATTAATCATAAAAATATAAAAAATATTTCTATCTAATATCTTTAAAATGATTATATTTCCCTCGGCTTCCTTAATTCAGTCCTTTGCACTTTCCTATCATATTAGGAACCCATAGCTCTCCAAGTATTTGAATTATGGAATCAAATGTCCTTTTAAATATTAACTCAGCAATGGACAGTTGTCTTTTACCTATGAAAGCTTTTTCAAGCAAAAAGGTAAGGGTATTACTTCCAAAGTGTTATGTCATTTTCTAATCGATATGATGGAGTTTTCATATTTAGTTTCAATATAAGATTTTACATTTAGATTTTAATTTTATTTTGCAAATTTACCTTTACGAAATCAATTTTTTTAGTTCATTCATGATGTTTTATTAAACATCAATTCTTAAGATCTTCGCCAGAATTTTAAATAGTATACTCGTATTAACGGATTACACCATGTGATTTTTTTGATGCCATCAAAATCAATGCTAAAAAAGGGTTCTTGAATGATTGAATATATTGTCTTTAAAAAATGTAACATTTAATGAAACTATATTTATTTTCCCGGGAAAAGTACAAGAGCTTCACTTTACTAGTTCTGACAATTGGATTGTTAGAAATTAAATTTTCATAAATCATTTTCACTTAACTTTTACCATTATCAATCGCTAGGCTAGTTATTTTATCTTCTCATTTTTCTATATTCCCTGATCCTAAAATACCTTTTTAAGCAGATAATGACCCTCAAACTAAATCCATCATCATTTTCTGAAAAACTAAAAATCGTCGCACTAAATGTTAGCTCTCAATGACAACAAATTTAGTCAATTAAAAACTCTTCTTTCTGCTACGCGCATTGATATTGCATGTATCCAAGAATCACATAGAGTTGAATCCTTTAAAAAAATATGTCACAATTAACTATTTACAATTTCGGTGGAAAAATAAAAATTGGAATAGATTTTTTTCCGAACAATCCGTCATAAAGGAAATTTAATCCAGCTCTTCATACAATTCACGCAGTCTCAAATTGAATTTCTTACACGACTAAAACTATTCACGGACTGATAGACAATTTATGAAGTAGTCTTTAGCTATTTGCTATTTATACATAAATCCTTATGGTATAAAAGTAAAATGAAAATGGGAAAAATTATTGTAAAATAAGAAATATTAATGGACTTTAGAATCATACGAGTAGCATTTTTACAAGTTCCTCTGTTATTACTATACATAAGAGAACCATACACTGATCCTTAAAGCTGCTAAAATCATTTACTTCTTTCAAAGTCGACAATATACCTAGACTTTTCGTTAACAATAAAATTACGGACTCTAATGAGCAATTGAAAATTTAACCTAGCCCACTAATGTTTAATACTAGTTATGATAACTCATGCCATTTCCATACACTTTAATCACGCCCTCGAAATTCACGGTTTTTAATTTTTTCAAAATTTCTCAAAGTTTTATTCCTACTTTTACCCTTTTTTGAATTTATTCTATCATAATTTTAATATTTCATATTAATAACATAAATTAATTTACAAATCAAAATTTTTATTAAAAAAAATGAATGTTCATATTTTTTATTTTGATTGTGATCGTTTCTTCCAATAAGCAATTGCTATGGAAAAATAATCTTTCACTGGAAGCCCAACTTGCCGGGGCTAATAAAATTTTACTAACAAATATTCTCAAAAAAGGTCCTTATAAAACTTCAAAATATTTTTATTGTTATTTGTTTTATGAAAGATGAATCTTTTAAGTTCACCCTCACAATTTCCTTCGGTAGATGTTGTCGCCTCATCAGAATCAGAATAATCTAGAAATTCTCGAAATGTTTCATTTCGAATATACTGTTTTTTATGGGTTAGGAGAATTAGAAGAGTTAAAATGATAGCTGGCTTTATGCTTAACGTCGAATTTTAAATTTAACATTTTTAAAGTTGTTTTATATATATATCTACATTTCTGTTAAAAACTTAAGACTTTTGAAATTTGGAATTTAGCCTATCTTATGTCGTGGCTGCATAATAAATCTTTCTTTTAAAAAAGACATTGTATTATTTCTTAGGGTTTGTTACTGTGTCACCTTCTGAAGGTTGATAAGATTTCATTAATTTTTGTTTCCGTAAATAAACTTCATTTATAATGGGATGAGAATCTGGGCTCAGATTATCTGAGCATTGAATAGTGATAAAAATATATCTAACTGGTGGATGATTTTTTATCAATGTTCGCTTATCTATTTAATTCTTGTTTGTTAAGCAGATTGTAAAAAAATATCCGGCAGCATGTGTGCGACAAGGCTTACTGTAAAAAGATAAAAAATATCGGGCAGCATACATATGTCAGGCCTTACTGTAAAAATATAACAAAAATCGTGCATCATATCCGTGCTTCATATCTTAATTTTGAATTTTTGATTGTGGTATTCTAACTTCTCCTTTTTGTTCCCCCGATCGAATATTTGATCTAACAATCCTCTAGGTTTAAATTTTAATAGTATTTCAGCAGAACTTTGTTCAGTTTCTGTCTCTGGTGTATTTCTGTAATTGTAGGGAAAAAATCTAGACTGGTTTATAAATCCCTCTCGTTTCTTTTATTCATACTCTGTTTAAAAGTTCGAATTAAATGTTCGGCCATGCCGTTTGTCTGAGGATGATACTTCCATGCACTAATTGAATCCCGTTTTTTCACAAAAATCATTGAAATCTTTGCTGCTGAATTGGGGTCCGTTATCAGAAACGATTATCTTGGGAAATCCAAATCTTGCAAAAATATTTCTTAATATTTTTATCGTGCTTTCGGTTGTAGTGCTAGTCATGGGAACTATTTCTGGCCAGTGACTGCTAGCATCTATCACTACCAACTAATAATGATTTTGAAGTGGCCCAGCATAATCAATATGAACACGGTGCCATGCTTTTGGTGGTTTTGGCCAATTTTGAATTGCTGTCTTTTGAGGCATATCGTGTTGTCCCTGGCATTATAATATCTTGGTTTATATTAGGCCACCATGCGTATTGTCGTGCTCTCATCTTCATTTTTACCATTCCGATATGTCCTTGATGTATCATGTCCACGTTGTTTCGGTATTGTTGTGGTATTATCATTTTAGTTATCCATAATAAACAACCTCTCTCTGTTATAATTTCCTCTCTCCTTTGGCTATACTCTTTTAAACATGCATCATAGTTTATTGGCCATCCATCTATTGTATATCTGTATACTTTAGAAAGTATATAATCTCGCATCGTTTCTTACAATTTCGCTTGCATTTAAAGGTGTTTCTCCCATCTGTATTTGATCTAGCGTTTCTTCTTTTGATATTGGTTCCCTTTATAGGTAATCTAGATAGCCAGCATTTACTATTTGTCTACTACTTTTGATTTCTATTTAATATTGGTAAACTGCTAATAATAAAGCCCATCTTTGTATTCTGGCAGTAGATGTTGTTGGTATATCTTTTCTTGGATGAAATAAACTCATTAATGGATTGTGGTCTGTTTGTAATATGAACTTTTTTCCATATATAAATTCTTTGAATTTTGTAACCCCAAATATGATGGCAAGAGCTTCTCTTTCTATTTGGCTATAATTTTTTCAACTGCATTTAGCGTTCTTGAGGCGAATGCAAATGGTCTCTCCATACCCCCTTCTACAGATAAGAGGACGGTTAATTTTCTTTTTATATTAAACCGCCTCACATAAGAGAACTTTGGGTGATCCTGTTTTTATATTCATTCCCCTCACTTAAAAGAACTTTGGTAATCCCTTTTTTTATATTCAGCCGCCTCACTTAAGAGGACCTTGGTATTCCCTTTTTTTTTACATTCAGCACCCTCACTTAGGAGGACTTTGGTAATTCTTTTAACCCTTCGCGCTTATAATAAATATATAAAGTTGACACACAATTTAAATTCTAAGATAATTTGTTTATTGATACTACTTATTCTTACAGATTATTTCCAAATAAGTTTTATATATGCGACAGAATAATTTATAATTAATATTTCACAAATGGAGAAAAATAATATAATAATTTTAAATAAAATAATATAATGATGATTTTACCTTTTTTAATGTCTTTTATTATCTTGAACATTTTGAAAAATAAATATAAATTTATTAATAATCTTCTCTAATCATAAATAAAATATATTAATCTTGATAATGACGACTTGACAAAATAACAATGAATACGCAAAATTAAATACCCCAAAATAGATATATATATATATATGACACAGATAAACTTGTATTTTATGATATGATTTTTAAAAATTGTATTATAATATTTACAGAGTTCCATCTCGTTAATATATTTTGCTTTAAAGAATGGCTTAGCTAGCTTAAAATATTGCACTATTTTTTACACCATTTATACTTAAAGCATTTCCGGTATGCAATTATCAAAATATATTGTATTATGTTATTTAATATATCGCAATGGTATCCTTTATCTCTTTTAAGGTAAATATTTATTATGCAGCCACTACATAAGGAATTTTGAATCCAAATTTCAAAAGTATTAAGTTTTTAACAGACGAGGAAAAGGCAGATATATTATAAAACAACTTTAAAAATGCTAAATGATTTAAAATTCTACGATATGCATAAGACAAGGCCAACTATTATTTTTAACTTTTCTAAATTATTCTGCACACATAAAAAATAGCATATTCTAAATGAAACATTTCAAAAATTTCTAGATTATTCTGATTCTGATGAGGCGACAACATCTACCGATGAAAATTGTAAGGTTGAACTTAAAAGATACATCTTTCATAAAACAAATAACAATAAAAATATTTTGAAGTTTTGAAAGCAGGAAAATTCATTTTCTTTTTTGAGAAAATTTGCTAGTAAAATTTTATTAGCCCCGGCAAGTTCGGCTTCCAGTGAAAGATTAATTTTCTATAACCATGCTTATTAGCGGAAACGAACACAATTAAAATAATAAAATATGGACATTCTTTCTTTTTTTAATAAAAATTTTGTTTATGGCGATTAATTTATGGAATTAAAGAACTAAAAAACTATGATAGAATAAATTCAAAAAAGCGTAAAAGTAGCAATAAAGTTTTTTGGCAAGTCGGATTAATACTCTTTAGCAATAGGCTTGAAAGGGCGAAAATTTTTTTGCCACCATGAGCGGACGAGCCATAAATAGGAAATCAGGCCCGCGTTCATTTTTAATCCCAAGAACATAAGGATTGGAGAAGTATATCCTTAAACTCTGCTGTTTATAAATAATTGATGCGCCTAATTCTTAGCCTTTTAAGACCTTATATTGAAACTATTAAATTTAATAATGTATAAGCTTCAGATAAAATGTGTTGGTGATTCTGATATTTCTCCAAGAGCATTCAAAATAGGTTCCTCTAGATCTAGGAAAAAGCTGCAAGAGCTTGATGTCGAAGACTCCATCTTGTCATTTTGTTAGAAAAGCTATAACACATACAGCTGTTCATTGCTAATTTAGATTTTTAAAGAGTTTTCGGTATCATAATTATTTCTATTAAATTAATTTTATTTTTAAAATCTATTTTATAGGAGAAAGACGAGGAATTAAGTATTTTAGCTCAACATTGCCAGGATATTGACCCTTTTAGGCCAGAAGCCTGTTGTGTTATAGGTAAGCTATATATTAATAATTAGTTAAAATCATACTTGTAGAATATAGTTTAAATTTAGGGTTTCCTATTAACTTAAAGAGTATTAAATTCATTTAATTCTTGCATCTCCCTAGTCCTTATTAATGATAAGATAACATGATTTATATATAAAATGGAAATAAATGAAGTCACCTAAGTGACAAAAAAATTATTGATTTTTTCAAAGCGTAAAGAAACAACTTAGAAAATAAATTTTTTATTTCCAAAATTTATTCGGCTAGGAAATTACTTTAGTCTCAAGGGAGACCGGTATAAAGCCATCATATATTTCCAAAGGGCTATAACTCTTAACGCTGATTTTTATTCCGCATGGGTTCTCATAGGACACGAATACAATGAGCTCAAAAATACTTCTGCCGCCATATACGCTTATCATAAAGCATCTAGTAATTAAACTTCTTTATTTATTTTTTTAAATTTTTATTCATGCATAAAAATGGTTGGAAATATTAAACCTATCACTTAAGTATAATATTATTACCTTAAAGGTTTGGCTCAATGCGAAGGGCGTCTATTAAAAAAAAATTTGCGGCATATAAAATAAAATATTTTAATTAATCTCCTTTTTTCTGTTCTTTATCTATCAGATTTTGGAAGCTAAACTAAGGATTTTTGTTTTGATTTTTTTATAAAATGTTCCAGGGTCTGCTTTCGGCTCTTGGATTTAACACATTTTCTCATTCCAAATTTAATCAAACCCTTTAAAAATGAATCTTACAACATTTTGAACAATTAATTATCTACTCTGGGAATAAAATGATTTGGTTCCTGTTCCTAGATTTGCCCTGGTTGCGTATTAACAATTTTTTGACATATTTCCCAAATGAAAATATTAACCCACCTCATTGATATTTAACCACCCTTGAATTTTTAGCATACATTAGTTTTCAAAATTCAAAAATAATTATTAATCTCTTAAAAAAAATCCTTAATTAATACAGAAATAAAATATATGATATTAATTTATCGATGGAAGTGGTTGGATAACAAAAACTGGCAGACATTTCATTTGAATTTTAATTTTTATAAATTATAAGAAAAATATAAGTGTTTTTAAATTGTCATCTTATATTTGGATATCTGTCCACTCTGCTAAGATCAAAATGTTTGCCCGTGTTAATTTATCTATCTTATATTTAAAATTAATTATTGTCTGCTTATTATAGCCTTTTAAGCTTTTTTATGATCGAGAATATCCATTTCGTGAGATTATTATTAGTTCATCTAAGAGGAGATTCTGGCAGAAATTTAATTCAATTAACCCATAAGTCGATCTACCTTAATATAAAAATACTGGTATTTTTGAGCTTACTCAAAATAGAGGACCTCTAATGTTAATTAGAAAGAAAAATTTTCAAAATAAGCATGAAAATATGATTGATGGAATTTTTGCAATTGAGGGACAAATTTCCATATCAAAGAATTCCGTTAATTGGATATTCCTAAAAGAGAAAAAATTATTGATTTTATATAGGCTAACCTCACAGTTAGCTCAAACGCAAATTCGCGGCAAAAAATACAAAATACAGTAAATTTCAATCATATTGCATTCGTTATAGTTTTCATGTGGATATGATAACCCGATTGCTACAAATTTTAAAAATGTAAATCTACGAACTTGAAATTATTATCGATAAATGTAAATTCAAAGTAAAATAAATTTTTTGATGAAATATTATGATTGATATGATTTAACCTAATTTACAAAAATATTAATCTTCTATTTTTGGATGATACATCAGAATTTTGACTTCATTCTAGAGATTTTACAAGAACATTATAAGCTAATTCTTTATTGCCAGTCTCAATGAAATAACTGGATAAACAAATGATTGTAAAAAAATATTTTATTCGAAAGTATTTATTTTTATGCTAAAAAGATATTCTGATTATCTATATAGATTATAGAAAAATCTTTAGCTTACAATCTTCTTTAATTATGTATCAAAGATGAGGACAAGAAAAAATATAAACAAGAAAGGCTCAAAGAACATGTAACAACTAAGACATATGTATAATATTGAAAGAAACATTCCGATACATGTTCTGATGGAAAGAAAAATAATTAACTTATTATTTTAATATTGATAATTTTACAGATTTGTATTATTTTAACGAATGAAATGGAATTATTTATTATATATTTTAGATATACGTTGACCTGTGCCCCAAAGCCTCAATTGACGGCGGCGGTTTTTTAAATTTTTTTATCAGCGTTCTACCGCGTGCCGACACCATCGCCTAATAATTTAGCAGCAACCGCTGCGTTCTATTTATTTTAAAATTTTTTAATTAATTTAATTTATAATACATTTTTTTGGGCACTCTTAGTTCTAACATTGTTAATATAGTTTAATTCATTTCTTAAATTATTTTCTGTCTCACTCCTATTTAAATTTATGTGTTTTCATTCTCAGGAATAGACTAAGGAATTGCATTTTTACTCAAATCAGAGTCACATAAACAACACATATTAGTAATATTCTATTAATTTTTATTAAAACAAATAAAATATAAATTTGGAATGCAAGCTATAAAATAAAAAATACAATAAATTAGAAATCAGATTTAGTGAAATTATAATTGGCATATTAGCAATACATATTTTTGGCTTTTGCGTCAAAAAAATTCATATATATTTAAAAGTAACGATTATTATAATTGTCAATTTTCCATAGTAGATCTGTATGAAATTTTAATTTAACATGTTAAAAATAAATATTTTTAACCATTTGCATCAAAAAAAACTAATATGTTTAAAAATACCGATATGACAATTGCCATTCCAAGGAACATCTTCATTGAATTTATAATTTAACATCTTTACATGCATATATTTTTACCCGTTTATGTCAAAAATGTTAACGAATACAATTGACATTTTAATATATTATCTTTAAATCATAAAAAAAGTTTAATTAAATATTTTAAAAAAATTACACTTCTTATACATTAAAAAAAGATAATTTTACAAAAATGATAAAAAAATATATATAAGATTTCACCTCAAAGTTTGTTTTATAAAATTTACAATTCCTCAAAAAAGATTTATTTACAAAGAAGATTTAAAATTCTGATCAAATCAAAATATGTTTAAAAACCTATTTGAACTCCAAAGATATTTTTTTGCTTAAAATTTTTGGCAAAAAATTACTAATAAATTGTAACAAAATAAATATAACAATAGCAACATAAAAAATTTTTATTAAAAAAAACATCAAATAAATATAAGTCAATTTTCATAACATAATCATATTAATTTAGTAAGATTATGGTTTGTGCGCCAAAATTACCATTGTCTTATTTATCTGTAATATGATGGTTGAATTTTATTATGCTCAGAGATAATATGTAATTATTAGAAATAAAGCTTATAAGTGGCCATTGAGAAAGAAGAATCTGTTAAAAAAATTTATAATTCATAAAAGTATGCAATCTAAGTAAGAAAAATAAATTGAAAAGGTATCTAAATTACAAATTTGATTTTTATAATCCATAAGATTTTTTACCCATTTTGCCCCTCCCTATTTTAAATTTTATCCTGTTCATCTCATTTTTATTTATCTTTTTACGAAAAATGGATAAATAATAATAAAAATATCATTCAACAAAAAAATATATGTAAAAATTAACCAATGGTTACCGATAATAAAAATATCAATCAACAAAAAAGTATTTTTTAAAAAATAAATAAATAAAAGATAGCCAATGGTAATTATGGCTCAGACCATAATCTCATAATCTTACCTTTAATTTCATAATATAATATAAATAAAAAATATTTAATCTATTTTGTTGATATTAATAAAATATTATTAACATTAAGTATAAAAATATAAATAGTAATTTAGGCTAGATAAGGAACGCTGACAGAAGATTAGCCAATGCAAATTTTTTGACTAATTAGGTTTAGCCGATTTTTAGGTTTAGCTTATTTTTTTACCTAAAATCTTGGCTTACGCCTTTTTAGAGTCGGCTAGCCAATTTCGCAACACTACAAATTATAATAAAAAACTTATCAATTTATCTTTAACCATTCTATCAAGTCGTTTAGTCCTTCTTTATTTTTATATTGGCTTTGGCCTTTAACTAATTTAGTGCATATAGCTTGAAGTTTAGTATGTTTGTAGGAAATTTTTAAGTCACCATAACAATCACATTATTTATGTATAATTTTTTAGAAATAAATCCTTACGATTATAGGGTTTGGAACGGCTTTGGGCTGACCTACGAAATTATGATGATGCCTTCTTATTCTTTGTATTACTATAAACGAGCTCATATGCTAAAGTATAATTAACTATAAAAATATTTCTTAAATTCTTATTACTAAGTTTTAAAACACTGTTCTACCTATCCAAAAAAAACGAACTAAGCCGAATAATGATATGAAAATCTTGAATTAATTTAATATTTGTATGAATCGAATAATTGTATTCGTATTATGATTAAAAACATTTTCTTATAATTTTCAAATGTATCTTAAAATAATCATATGGATACCCTCATCCCCCCAATATTTAGGAGGTTTAGCAAGCAAAAAATAAAAGGGAACATTCTATTTATTGGCCAGTTTTCATGGTCATTTATGCCACATCTCTCCTACTTATATTTTGATGAAGGGTAATTCCGAAATTTTCTGTTATTTTAAATATATTAGTGAAATTATATATTTCAATTATATGCAAATTATTTGTAAATCATATAATTTTTAAAATATCTTTTTCATAAATCTCAAAAAATTTTCATTACAAGTAGGGAAAACCGGGGTAGGTTGGGATAATTTTCGTCCAATAATATTAAACTAATTTGAATAAATAAAATATCTTCGCAATCCTCAAAGTATATGCTGGTAAACGATTAACCCAATATTTTAACGAAAAAATATTACTCAAGCCTGCAGATTTTTATCATAGATGGCAAAAAGGTTTGGACATCTATTAACCAAATCTCGAGGCTTATATAATATTTTTTGGCATAAATATTGGGTTAGTCGTTTACCTCAAAGTATAGACTCATTTATAAAAAATATTTTTACATTAAACTTATAATTTAATCAATAAAAATCAGCTGAATTTTAAAAATTTGTAAATAAATTATCTGTTAAAATTAATTTCTTGCTTTATGCACCAATGGTATTTACATAAAAATATAAAATACTCGAAATAAGCGATAATTTTTAATAAAAAGAATATATATTTAAACTTATTTTCAAATAAAAAGAAAGTTATGATTTTTTATAGAAAAGAATACTCATATATCCTTTTTACGGGGATAATTATGCCTTATAAGATTTAAAACATAATATAGAATCAAATTCTTTTAATGAAGGAGGTTTAAAAAAATTATATCAAGTAATTATATTTTCTAAAAAGACTATCATTGGTCATTTAGAAAATACTAAAAATTTGTTTAATAATAAAAAGCATATTAATTAAAAAATTTAATAGTATGTGCATAAGAAAATTTAATGAATATTTACTTTTTATAAATATTTTTTTAAATGAATGATAAAAAATATTTACTATTAAATTGTAGGAATGTATAAATCCTTGCATAGTTATGACTTTCATATATTATTAAAACAACAAGAAAAAAAATTTAAAATTATAAGTTATGTGTAAAAAATTATTTCCTTTAACTGGGAATTTGTTCGAAAGAATGGTAAAAAAAATAAGGGTAATGACTTTTTTTAATGATGTTCGAATTGAATGAGAACAAAATATATTTAAAAAATGATGTTTACACTGTAATACTAAAGGTTTTAAAGTATATTAATTTGTTAATAATATTATAATTCACAGTAATTAAGCAAATTAAATTGAATTTAGATATTTAAGAATTTTTGTGAAAATAAAATATCATTTAAACTATATTATATGAAATATTAATATTTTAGATTTGATAAATATTTATTGAAAATTATTTACATTTGTTTTAATCAAAATAAAAAATAAATATGTAATAATTAATAGCGCCAACTATTTTATGAATAACCATCCTATGATCTAGCCCATACTTTACAAATGTCATTCAGAATCACATTAACCCATATTTTATGATGCTGGGAAATTGTCAGATTTTGAATTTAAATTTCCATAAATTTATTAAGGTCTTAAAAGCTTTATTTATAAATCTAAATCATAAAGTTTGCAATTATTTTTTTTATGCTAAAACACACTTTCCTCTGTGTAAATTAAAACACTAAATCTTTTTTAGCCAATCATGTATGACTTAATTATCTATATTAGGCTTGAATTTCTAATTTTATAAAATAATAGTTTAAAATTATAATTGGAGTGGACTAACGTTCCCCTGTCCTTAACCCGATCTTTCCTACAATAAAAAAAAATCTTTCAACTAACTCCGAAAAAAAATTCCTTGCTAACTGAGGCTTAGTTAGATTTTTTTTTATAAACAGATATAGTATTTATATTATATTCATATCATCGGCTTTTTAATTGAAACTGAGGTAAATTTAAAAAATGATATGATATTTTTCAATCTAAATCCCATAGATCTAATTGAAATATTAGTTATTTAATTAAAATCGTGATTTAAATATAAAAATATCACTATTTTTGTCAACCCTACTTAGGATCACATACACTTGTTAATTGCTCTATTTAAATAAAAGGAATTTATATTTATTGTTGATATTAGATTTATTAGTCATGAATTTAACCTAAAAAGAAAGTTACAAAGATTTTTCCCGAGCAGTTAAATATTAATCAATTAATTTTTTAACACAATTAAAAACTTAAGCCCAACAGATTCACGTTTATTGATGGCTCTCGGTGAATGCTTCGAAGCACTAGGTAAAATGAAACAAGCTAAACTGTATTATCAAAGAGCACTTATTGGTGGAGACTTGGAAGAGACCGCCACCTTTAAATTGGCAAAGTATAGTCATAAATATTTACATTAATGAATATTATTAAAATTTAATGATTTTATTTTCCTTTATTTATATATATATATATCAACTATGATTTTTATTTATTTTTATTACTTTTCATCTATTTTTATTTTCTAAATATTTACAAAGAAAAAAATTAATTCTTGAAATTAAATGAGAATGATTATATTTCATATAAGAATAAACTATTTATTTTGTCTTATCCATTCTAGTTTAGTTGTTTTTATTATGTCTCAATCATTTTTATTTTAATTTATACTTTTATTACCATCTTATATGTTTATAGATTTGAAATTTTATGTATCATATCATTTTTAAAAAAATTGGTAAACATTTCTTTTCAAATGTTATTCAGGGCTTGTGAAGCGTTACAAGATACCAGGAACGCCGCCCTGGCCTACAATAAATATTTACAAGATGCCAAGAACAGAAAGGTTATATATTTCTTTTCATGTCTTCATTTTTATATTAAAGCATTATCTTTTTTAAAAAAAAATAATATCCCGGCATCCTCAAATTGAGCTATATTTGTCACGTGCAATACTCACATTAAATCGAGCAATTGCCTCACTGAAGACCGAGTCTGCATATATTTTAATAACAAGACTGGTTCAGATTGTTCTACCGGAAAATATTTTCAAAAAGTGGTCATCGAAACAGAGATGGCCGATAAAATAATTAGGTTTCATTTGGTTTCTAAACTCGATCTGAATGCAGCCTACCCTTTTTTGATTTTTTTAAAAATTGGACTGGTTCAGGCGCGTAACCAATGGCCCATCGCAAATTTGACTGTTTTCTTTCATAAATAACATTTTAAGCTAATAAAAATTTTAACCCCCCCCCCCCCCCCCAATTAAAATTTTACAAAAATTTGAATATCAATTTTCCAACATATTATTCAAAAATATTAATAATATGGAAAAATATTTAGTCAAAAAGATTGAAATCAAACAATAATTTATTTTATTATTATATATATTTATTCTATTAAATTCAAAATTATTAGTGAGTTAGAATTAATAAGTATTTTTAATAATATTTTAATTATTAATATATATCTATAATTTTTTATATATTTTTCATTTTTACTTCCATTTTGTAGAACAGAAGAAATAGAAATACAAAAGTTAAATAAGGCTGAGCATGAAAAAAAGTAATATGTCGTCAGAAGTGATAAAATTATTGAATTCAATTGATCAATCAGAGTTTATCATTGCTGCTAGTTGCATTAATAAATTATTTTTTCATTTGGCGGAAAATATATATGAACAGGTAGATACAATAAGAATGAATGTAGATAAATATTTTCATAATATTTATTTAGACGTTGAATCGAAGGCTAAATTTTATGATATAACACTAATTAAACCTCATCTAGCACCTAGGCTATTATTGAGATGTAAAATAAATATTGGCAACTGAAGAATATTATAAAATATCCATTTTCATCCCATTCTTAAATACTTTTTTATCGCAAATAAAAGTACGGTTTTTAGATAAAAAAACAAGTCTTTAGCAATCTTCAAGTTTTATTACCCAGAGATCCTTCTTCGTTTTCTAATGCCACTATTGGTAAAGTTAAATATTTAGCAAAATTTTATTCCTATGAGATTGATACTGAAATAAATTTAATCAGTGAATTAGAATTGTGGTATAAAAATTTACTACATTTAGCTATTTTACCTGAGCACTTATATTGATTCGCTCAATCGGTGTAAAGAAACCTTGGCTCAATTTCCTAATATTTTGAAGTTGTTTTATATTCTTGCATGTTTGCCTATTACAACATGTACGAATGAAAGGACTTTTTCCAACTTGAGAAGGTTGAAAACATATTTACGAAGTACTGAATCTCGGCTAAATGGGTTGGTTCTGTTAAATATTCACAGAGATTTGGTTCCATCTACAAACGAAATTCTTGATGAATTGGCAACATTCCCAAGAAAATTACAAATCACATTTATAGAAAATATTTTGTATAATATTGTATTTGATAAGAAGTTAAAAAAAACTTGTTAATTTAATTATTTTCTAGTCAATATTTTATACACACTACTATTAGGATTTTCAATAAAAAAATTATATTCTACTTATATTGTACGAGAATTTAAGCTGAGGCTAGTTTTTAAAGCAAATTTTATAAAAAAAATGATATTACACTTTATTTCAACTTTACATTTAAAAAAACTTTATTAAATATAATATACCTAACTTGAAATAATAAAAGATAGGCTTGTAATATCTATAAGCACGATTTAGTATGATAGTTAAAAATAGAAATATAATTATTATTAAATTATGAATAATTTAATAGAATAGCTAAAACATAAGACCCGGCCTAATGCCGGGGAAAAGCTGGCTTGGGGGCGAAGAATCCCCCTCCCTATAAGAAAATCCTAGATACGCCACTGGACTGGTTGATATATTGGTGCATTATATTATTTGGGTAAATTCAAATAATAGAAAATTTAAAAAAGTTTTCACCTCTAATTATTTTTCTCAATGTAATAGATCTATGATTGGTCTAAATATTTATCAATGTATAATTGTAAGACATATTATAAGTAGAGGTAATGTTGTTAAACGGCTCGTTTTGAGCCGATTTTTAAAAACAGCTAACTCAATATTTCGTCTAGAAAAATATTACCTAAACCTGAAGATTTTGCTCATAGAAGGAACAAAGGTCTATACATATACTATCGAAATCTTGAGGCTTATTAGGCAATATTTTTTTGGCTAAAATATTATCCGCCTCGTATATTTTTAAACCAAATATTAAAACTCCATTATTAGCTATAAGAATGGATAAAATATAATTTTAAAAAAAATCCGTGCCAGGCCTGAAAATATAAAACTCGAACCAGTCCGAAAAAAATTTTGGGGAAAAAAATCCTTGGTCTTACAAATGGTACCCCTGCCGGTCTCTGACATATATAAAGATGTTTGAATTCATATTCTTTAAAATTATGTTAGGTAGTAAGAGGACATGGTGGTCAATGCACTGAACAAAATGTGAGTTGATATGTAGAGTGTGGGAGGTGGAGGTAGTAACGAATTTAGATTAACCTATTTATATTAATACTTGTAAAGTTTATTACTGTCATAAATAAATGATATTCAATTTAATTTATTCATAATATTATATATACCATATCCCGGGCTAAGGAAGTGGAAAGATGCCAAAATCTATGTTGAAAATGATATAAGGTGCTGCTATTTTTTATGGCAAAAATATAGAAATAGTAACGCTCGCTTGTTAAAAGGAAATTGATAAACAAAATTGGAGAAGTATAAAGCTTTAGCAAATGTTTAATAATAAAAGAATTATTGTTACACGGTGTCAGCTTGCCCCACAGCACATGTTGGTTGAAGTGATAACGAGAAATATTTTCTGGATACATTTTATTGCTGAGTGATGTCTGATCTCTGTCTAAGTGAAACGATATGAGTGCGAATTTTAAACTATGTTATAAGATATGAAGTAATTCACGAGTTGGCCTTGGCACATGCATAGGATAGGAGTATTGAAGGCGATAGCTTAGAGTTTTAGTAATACGATTAAATTGAAGGCTTGTAAATATGCCAGAAAATACTTTTTTATAAATAATTTTTCGAATGAGTTTGGGGTACGCGGATTATTTTTTTTAGTAAGGAGGTTCTACTAAATAATTACATCCGCATCGTAAAAATGTGTATTTAAATAAATTATTAATTTTTTGGGCCGATTTTGGCCTATTTAGACAACTATTGTTATATTCTATTGCAAAAGGAATAATAAATAAAATATGTTTATTTTCCAAAAATTTTATTAAATACTACAAGACAACAAATAAAATTTAGACAAAATATATTACTTAATAAATTTTACTATGTGCATGATTTAAAAAGGTTTCAAATACAGCTGAAGAAGCTCACGCCTTAAAATATTTGGGCTATTACTACTATTCGGCCAAAGATTATCTTAAAGCATATTCCTGTTTTCATAAGTGTTTTAGCTATGTCGAGGTATTAAATATATATAGTTGATTTTTTATTTTAATGGTTTCATTTTTTTTACTGAATTTTTATATTAATAATTTTATTAAATAGGCCTTGGAAGATGGAAAAATAATGGTTAACAAATTGCAAGATTACGTTAAATCTGTGATACCTATTTTATAAATAATTACATGTCATAATATTATGTATTACATCAAACTTATCCTGTTAAATAATATAATATTCGTAATTTCTTAAATCATTATTACATAATATTAATTTATATATTTTTCATTCTATTTATACCCCATCATTAATATATTAATGTTGATATGGAGCGGTGCTCCTATATAAACTGTAAAGGTAGCTCCGAATTTTATTGTATACATTTTCTTAAAAATGATATTTTTAAAAATAGGACCGAGGCATAAGCGTGACGCGGGGGGTTTAAAAATATTATTTAAAGCGAATTTTAAAAAAATTTTACTGCCCCCTCCCATCTCAACTTCTCAAAAAATGTACACAATAAATCACTATAAACATTTATTTATTAACAATTTTTAAAAATAATGATTATAATTCAAAGATTTTATTTTAAAAAAAACATTTTAAACAATAAAAAAAGTTAAATACCAATATCTTTTTAAAAAAATATAACCTGGTCAAAGGCCTGCGATTGGAACTAAAACCATACAATAAAGTTTATAGTGAAAATACCAGGTCCACCCCCTTATTGGCAAAATCCTGAATACACCTATTGATCAGGGAAATTATCCATTAAATATTTTTTTATTGAAGAGCAATAACATATTTAAACTTTTCCTTTTAAGAATTAAAAACATCCCCTTCTATCCCACAACAAATATAGTTGGAAATGTGTATTAGAACCATATTGCGATACCTAGCAATTAGTAGACATCATAGTTCCTATTGACAGCTTATATTAGAGGCACTTAGATCGCAAATGGTTCGGAAATCAGAGTAAAAATGGAAGATAATATGCCCATGATCTTAAGAATAAATTGGATTTCAAATCTTTATTGAAGAATACAAATATAATACTATATTATCTTTTCATCAATCTTAATTGAACAGTTATGGCAATGTCATCTCTAATAAGTAAGTCAGGATTCATATGATGATCAGCGTCTACATAAGCGGGGTGGGTAGGAACAGTTTGCTTCCAATTTTTTTGAGGAGGAGGGGGGGTCAGGCTCAATTTATTGGAGGTTTTCTATTAAATTTTTAAATGTAGGGCAAAATATATTGTAAAATATTATTTATTATAGACCTATTAATAATAAAGTGGTATTGCTAAACATGGCCAAATTTTTCTATTATATACAATCATAGACATTATTTTTCAAATAAAACTTATTTATTGATAATTTTTTGCTATCTTTTCTAATGTAAATTTAGAGGATTAGACATTCTATCAGCAAGCTCATATTCATGTCAAACAATATACTATACTAATGCATTGCATACATTTTAAATAAGGGATTTTTTAATCATTCATGTTCTAAAGAATAACTCTTTTACATTTACTTTTTTTATATTTGGTAATATAGTATTGATCATTTTAAAATATATGAAGGTAGTGCCATTATAATTAAAAACGCCATCAAACTAATCCCTACAATAATAATAAATTGATCAGGAATATAAATAATAGAAAAAAGAAGTAGTTCAGTAAATTAAAATTATATTTTCACACATGACAATATAAAAATCATCCGGATCTTTTTTAATTCATTTAATTTAAAAATCATCTGGAAAAAATCAGATTATATCTCGTTCAATTGATTTTAATAAGTATATATTTCACATTCTGTTAGATACATAATAGAATATTGACATTATAAAACTTGAATATAATTACTTTTTAAAACATTAATAAAATTGTTTTTGGGGAGACTGGGGTTAATCGAACCGATTTTTACAAAATAGGCTACAGCTCCTAGTTTTCTATAGATAATATAAAAATAATATATGATTAGATACCTAAAACTATACTCTATAAAGGTTCCATATGAAAAATTTAAAAATATAATCATTTCTTTTGAATTTTGTTTTTTGTATAAAGGAAAATTTTATCCAACAAGCTCCAATAGCGTTTTGAGGCAAACCACTTCAAGAGGCTTCCGAAACCATTGATTTTTTTAGGCCATAATAAATTGAAATGCATTTTTATTTATTAATAATGATACGTATAGAATAATTTCATTGTTCAAAATATAATACTTATAAATTGAAGTTAATTATATATAAAAATTGAAACTTAATTTTGGTTAATTTAATAAACATTTTCGTCATAAAAAAAATAAGGATCTTAAGGAGAGGTTATGATTTCTTAACATAAATCCTAAATACCAAACATAAACAGCCATGAAATAGCCTTTTCAAGATTTTGAATTTTTTTCATTATTAACTGCCATAATTGACGTATAAGGTTTAGCAAGCCCTGCTAGCTCTAAATTGACAAATCATGATTGAAATAATATCTAGATATAATAAATACTCATAAAACTTTCCCAAATTATAGAAGAGTGTTTAAACTTTGCTATAAAATTTAATTTACATATAAATGATTATATATTTTAATAAAAATTAAAATTTCATCATGTAAAGATCTTTGAAAATTTCTTCAAAATATTATTAAATAAAATTTTTAATAATTAATTATTTCAAAAGATTTTTTGTCTATAGATATAAACTAATAAAAGCTATATTCGGATAAAATTTTAACCTTCTGATGTATTTAATTTTAAAATGAGATTTAGTGGTTTGAGCACCCCTACCCCTAAATGATTCGATTATATCGAATTCGTTCATATCTATTCTTATCTATCACAATCAACACTACCGCCCAAGCTAATTCCTACAGATTGGCATATATATTAATTTTAGTCAAAAATAAACGGATATTACGAAAGTATATATGAGGTTTAATAGATTATTTTAGGAAGAAATTGATGAAAAGACTTAGACATTAAGAAGAAATGCTATGTTATGAATAAGAAATAATAGAATTGATATCGAGGCAAAGGCAAACTGTAGTAAAAGAAACGAAAATGTATAGAATCAGTAGTTATCGTTATAAGGGATCGATATGGTTAAAAGAAGGCATTATCGTTAACTTATCATTAGAAGCCGCGAATAATAGACAAAAGAAAAATATAGAGCGGAATCATTTAGTGGGAGATAGGTAGAAACAGAGACAATGTTGGACAATTAAAAAATTTAGGAGACACCTTGGCAAAATATTAGGATACCTCTGTAATGTTTTAGAAACGAGTGTTAGAAGCAACAAAGGATCTAGAGAGGTGAATTTATCAATTATAATATAGCTGGATCTCCCGCAATGGCAGTTCAGAATGGAGTTATGGAAAATTCTTGATACTAGCGCCACCCTTATTTTACGCTTGATGCTAATTAATGGAAAAGGTGTTGTAATTAAATTTCAATTTTATTAAAATGATATTTAGATTTGTTTTATAATTTGATCAATTATCATTATATTAAAATGAATGTTTTTCTCTAATAGTATATAAATTCTATTTGTTTAAAATTAGTATAAATAGTGATATTGAAAATGTTAATAAAAATAAATCGAAAATATAATAATTAAGAAAAGTTTATATATTTTTCACTTTACATATTTTTATTTTGTTATGTAATTGTTTATTTGTACAATTATGAAATAACAATAAATTTAATTCCATTTTATAAGTATAATAGTTTAAATTTAGACATCACGAATAAATATCAAAAAATATAATTTATATTAATATAAAAAAGTAGTATTTGCCAAACCCCTAAGTCAATAATATACCTCTATTTCCCCCTCCCCCCACTATAGGGCCATCTGTGATCTTATGCAAGTTTTTAAAGTTTTAACGGGCACGTGATTTTATTTAATTTCTTTATTTTTATTTAATAAATAGTCTAGGCTTGGGTAATCAGAAATAATGTTAACTATGATTTCTTAATAACCATATTTATACAATACAATAAGCGGTAGAGGATTTTAAATAAAAAAATTAAATACAATTATAACAGTGGCATGTTTAGGAGTAGGGATGCAGGGATCAAGCCATCTGAAATTTTTGAGAGCCAACCGATAAAATTAAAAATATTTATTCGCTTATTTCCTGCAAATTTTAGATATTATTTGCTTTTTCCTTAATCTAGTAGAAAATCTAACGTCACTTTCCTTCTTTATTCAATTTTTGTAACATTTATAGTGCCATAAATTGTTCGAAATTGACGCCTGTCACAAAATGATACGGTTATATTGTTGTTTACAATAGTATATTAAAAGTCGCGAATGAGTTTGCGATTCATTTGTTTTTAAAAATTTTTAATATCACCTCAAATTTAAAAAGCCGTCTACAATTTTTTATTTCTTTTGAATCGTAATTAGCCCCGCAGCAACGGTGGGAGTGACGGGAGCTACCCTTAAAAAGTTTTTGGCACGCTAATATTGCTTCAAATTTGTTTCTAATGGCTATGAAGAAAAAATTAATCGATCCTTCAAATATTGGCCACCACAGTTTCTGGATATGGGCCTGATGGTAATATAAATAGCAAGCGCCTAATATGTAGACATTTCCCAGTTTTCGAATTTAATTCTATATATTTTACAATTTACATTTTTACTTTAAAAATCTATTATGTTTGATATTCATTTTTTGTTATTTTTATGTGATAATATTTTTCGTTCTTTTTGTATACAACAGATACACTGATTTGTTACTTGATTTGATTGGCATAAAGAAAAATATATAAGTTATTTAATAAATATTTAATTTTTTGAAACTATTTATATGTTTTTAAATTAAAGACTCCAAAGAATTCGAATGAAAATAATTATGCTTCATTTAATACCTATTTGTAATTTTTTTTACTCATTCTAATTAATTCATGAGGCAGAAAAATTTTAATTTTTTTATCGGAATCGATGTCGAATAATATTTTCAATCTAACCTTAGATCGAATGTTATCTTCGAAATTTCGCATATCTCCGATTATCTATTGCTTTAAATCCATCGGCTGGAACGGTTCTCTCGCATTTTTGTATATGCTGGCTATTTACGTTGGTTCCAAACATGGTATATAACAGATATTTGAAGAGAATTCGAGGACCATTATTTGGATTAAAAACAAATGGCAGATAGAAAAGATTGAGTTATCTTGGTTTGTGTTATAGCTCACTGTCTTATACAAATATTTTTTATTCTATCACACAAATCCCGAATTTGAGATAATATTTCTCGCAAATGTTCTATATCTTTAACCTTTGCATGTTATAAATTAATAAAAAAATTGTATCTGAAACTCCATATGATATATATTTGAGAAAAATCCGAATTCTATATTTGAATTCTTAATTGATTATCATTACATATCAAAGGAATAATATATAATGTGAAAAAATTTAATTTTCGATATTACCCATTAGTGCATCTAACGTATATTCGAATATTTTATATTAATATTTAATCTATCGAATAATTTTTTTGTTATTATATT